ACCACAAAATAAACTGCACAAAATTCGCTCTCGATAGTTCCTAACATCATTTTCTCAAAAAATTCATTTTTACTCTGGTTTGTCTTGTAAAATATTTTATGTACAAATTGTAACTTAAAATATCTCTTCACACTTTTAGGAATGGAATATTGAGAAATCCTGTGATTTTTTAACCTAACGAATCGTCAGTGTCCTCTAGAGGCTATACAGCTTCTCCGAGCTGGTAGGCAAGCTGATGGGGCTCTCAGCCTGAGAGAATTTGCTAACAGTTGCCCTAGCAACAGCAGTGCTTCGCTAAATCTACCACCGGATCGGAATCACGACCCACTGAGAAGATCCGGCGAGAAACTGAATGGATTTTGTCTATGAGTTAAGTTTCACGTGAAACTGTCCGTCAGATTCGTCCAATCCTCTCAAAACCTATCTCAATTTATAAAATACTGGCAGTTGGGTCTTGAATCAATGAATCGGTGAACAGAATATTTATTTCCTTAAATGCTTAGATTAAAATTTCGCAATAGCAATAAGATATCTTGAACAATACATGTAATAATACATACAATAGGAATACAGTGGAAAATAAAAAGAAAGTTGATAAATGACATGGAGAAAAACACTTATAGGAAATGAAAACGTTGCGTGAGTTCAGAATTGAATTCATGTCCAACGTGTTTGAATATTCTAATTAATTAGTATATAAGTTCACTATTAAAAGCACTTATAAACTATAACCAGCTTTAGTAAAGTAAAATATTTAGCTTTCTACAAATTTCACAATTAGAATCGAAAAATAATCCTATTGTTCAAGTACATTGTATGAGTATATTGTATGTACATTGTATGAGTATTCAAGTACATCAGATTCCTACCTGCGTATTCATAATTATTCTATGAAAGGTTTTTTACTATTTTTACAATATTCCACGTCCGCTAAGTTATCGTAAGCCGCAATGAGTCAACACAACAAGAGCCGCAGTGTTTACATATCCCAAAAAACATGTGTTTCTTCGAGATTAATAACAGGATACAAAGAGATTATTTGCAAGAATGTTGTAGGTTTAAGAGCGGAAGTGTGAATAATAGTAGGTTTTTCGTGTCGGCCTCTGGACGCCGCCGATTCGACCGCCAGTTGTGGCCTCGGTCTCAATGTTTGTGTTGGTTTCGTCACACTGCCCACTGCCGCCTCAGAACCAGATTCGATTCATTGAGCTATGTGTTGAGCGGACCAAGTGTTTTTTTTGCTAGAATTATAATTTATTTGTCTCAGGAATGAAAACGATTAAAGCATCAATTAACGACCCCGATATGAAATTTAAATGTATTCAAAAAATATCTTGTTATCTTGTAATTGATATTTGTTGATAGAAATTTATTAAGAATCTTTTTTATTGAAATTATCAATTGTATTGGTTGTAAATCGCTGATAATACCAATTTTTTTTTGTTTTTGATTGAAGTATCACTGGTGGCCCGGAGGCCTTTTTAGTTTCACCAGGATAGGTGGGCGAGCAAAGGCTCAGCCAGGAGGGGTGGGATTTGCTAACAGCTGCCCGAGCGCCTCCGAAGAAGACCTAACAACTCAAGAGCAGCTGCTTCTAATCCCAATTCTGATTTATAAAAATTATTCAATCAATTAAGAAAAATTACCTAATAAACCTTCCATCAACAATGTTACTATTGTTGATCGAAGTAATAAACAGATTGCACTCGACATGTTTCATGTTTAATCCAGACATCATTAATAAAAATTCCTTTGAAAAAACAAAAACTCGATTGCCGTTTTGTTTTTCGCAATAACGAATCCGAGGTGAAAAACTAAAATTTAATCAATATTTTAAGAAAATCTAATTATTTTATTAATTTATTTTCTAAATTTTGTTATGAATGAAAAACATTCTGTCCTCGCACTAAAACATGTGAGAATGAGCCAGACAGAAACGTAATAACAAACATTACAAGCAAACAAATTTGTTTATTTTAAAGTTTTATCACAGGTTACCTTCAATAGAAAAATTCCTAAGACAACAAATGTAACTATTAAAATAATTATATTAAATGTTTGTTTTCAACATATCGATGAACAAACATTAAAGCAAAACTAGTGATGTTTTTGTTTATCTATATATTAATACGTGAAGCAAAAACTTTGTACCCCTTTTTACAAAAATTGTGCAGACGAAGGATTATGAAATTTCCCACACTTATAGAGAATATAGAGAAGGGGTGCAAAAAGCTAATATTTTTCGTTAAACTATGTATTATAAATACATTAAATCAATAAAGAAAACATTACACACACTATCATGTATTTGACACAGACACGCATGTATACTCTTTTATTCATTGTCTAACTTTTGTTAGTGTTTTAAAGCCTGTGGTCAAATTAAGAATAGATTAATATTGTTTGTCTTAGACGTAATTATAGAACTATTTGACAATAGAACCATAATAATGTTCAAACTTATAATTTAAATTAATAAATATGGTCGAATTTGGACCGGTCAGCGACCACTAGTATAAAAAAAAAGTCTTTATAATGATTTGACAAATGTATATTAATAGTGAATAAATAACGATAAAAATTTTAAAAAAAATATTGAATTATCCATATACTCGTAGCATCTCCAAAGGGAATGAGCATGGCGAACCTCAATTAAAGTAATTTGCGAATTTAACAATAACAACAAAAAACACGACGAGCCGGTCGACGAATGCATTAAAACGAATAAGGACTATTTAACTACAACAAAAAATTAACATTCGCAATTGTGAAATGTATTGAAGACTGCAAAAAATATACTGGAATTTGGTAGTGCATCCTACATTGTAACAGTTAAAAGTAAATTTCAGTCTTATGTCTTCGACAACAGAATTAAATTCCCAATAAATTGCTGCTTATAATCTGACTCACACCATATGAGGAAAGGGGGAAAACGCATCAGACTACTTTCTTTCAAGGAAGTTTGGGTTAAGCTGTTCATGCACTAAGATTCAATGTTCTTTGCGATCACTAAAAAAGATTTCGTATCATTATAGAATGAGTAACCCTTAATTTATGGGATTTACATCTTTTTGTGAGAAACCAGTTTGGGAGCTGAAATGCTTTCGTCATCTTTTAAAAAACATCACGGTACAACATGTACTTGCAACCGAAATCATCGCATATAAATGGTAATAAAATATACTAAGCAGTTTCAAATGAAATTTAGTAATTTTTTAAGCTATTGCATAGCTTCTATCGCGGGCCTTAAGCGCGGCGACCGAATCATGAAATACCGTAACGAAAAAAACCTAACACCCCTCACTCCGCCTACCATGTAGCTCGCGTTCAACACATTCACACGTTGCGCTTGTGTAGTATTTGTGAATAAGCGCGCTGCGTGACGTCACACTGCATGCGCACCACGAAAAGTCTGCCCATCTCTCTCTCGCGGGGTCTAGCTTATGAGTGTGAAGGGGACAGTTAATGTTTATTATAGCGTGGTCTTGTTTTATGGGACTGGGACTTTAATAAAGCAGCGCAAAGCTCATAAAACGAATTGTATTTGATCTCAAAATATAAATTACAATAACAAGCAGAAGGTAATTTCGAATTCAACACCGTTACAATAGCTACAAACACGATTAGTCTGTTAGTTTAAGTTTAATGAGAAATTCAATAGATATCATCATGATGTCATTAAAATACATAAAAATACAATAAATGAAAACGATAATTGTTGTAACATATACAGAGTGCAATCTGCTTAAATACATTAATTTAAATTTATTAATAATAAAAATGTCAATTTATGCATCCATTTGCATAAAACGCTATACAATTTGTAATTACCGTAATGTTATAAAATATTTATGACAAAGTCAAATACTGTTACGAAATTGTAGGTAGTTGTATATTGTCAACGAGATTTTCCATTCCATTGTTAATAAATACGTAAATGAAAACAAAAATAATAAATTATTATTTAAATAATTTCGCTACAAGTAATCAATACATAGCTCACAAATGTGTACCTATTTACAATTAAGCCGGTATCATGTTTTTAAGGCAGCCGACGAAATTAAAGCCGCGATGTAACGACAGCAAAAAGATTTATATTTTCTTTTTCTTAAAAGTCAAAATTTAAAGAAGTGACGAAATTTAATGTTCGGAATTAATTGTCTAATTTGAAGTTACGGATTCAGAGGCGGGTCGAAGACCCTGTTTCAATTCTATACTTTTGCATAAATTAACTACTTTAATACTACTTTTCCTTTGTTTTTACCGAATGTAGTTCTTCGTTCGATTTCATGAATTTTCACGAATGAGATTGCGTACATAAAAAATAAACGTAATTTAGTGGTAGATCAATGAACCTAAAACCTCGTTATACTTAATGAATGCTCATTAGCATTAATATTGTTCGAATATTTCAATAGGACAGAGCTGACTAAAGTGACTGAGCTGACGGGGACCTTGGTTTGTGGACAGTGTGGATACACGGTCAATCAGATTGGTTCAAATTGCGAAAGTAAACAAATATAGTACAACAACAGACTAAATATTTATTTATTTTGTATAAGAAGGATGTATGTATGTTTTGTCAGAATTAGGTACTAATATTTTCTTATCTTATATTATTTATGTGAATATTTTTTATCAATAATAATAATTATTATTATTACTTTAATAGGTTATAGTTTTAATAGGTAATAGGGTATAATAGGTTAGTAATGTATGTGTTCATGGGAATTAGTTAAGTTTGGCACATTCATATCTTTCTACATTTTACAACGTATACAATACAGCGTGCTTAAGCCATGGGAAAAAATACTTACATTGTGTATTACATAATTGATTGTTATAGGGTCCGTCTTAGTTTAAATAACAAGTGTTTTGATTGCAAAAAACAGAAAATTTTGGACTTAAAAAAGCACAAAAGAAAAGGAAACATTAAAGAAAATTGGATATTTTTAGTAATAATAAAATTATTATAATGTACTTTTTAAAATTTTACTTACTTTTTGAGCATGAAGGCCTTGCTCAATTCCTTGAGAACCGTGGAGACAATTGCACCTGCAGCCGGGACTGCGAGCACGGAAGCATCCATGCAGGCCGACAGGGCAGCCGGCGCCAACACTCCGAGCCGGCTCAACCTTGGATTATCTTTCGACATCACTCAAGTCTTCTCCACTAAAATATTTTTTATAAAACTTGGATAAGTCTTTACGTGAGTTGTAAACAAACGCGCGACCGGCCACCGCTTAGCGATCCGCTTCGCACGCGATTCGAACTACGAATGCGATTCGATCGCACGATACATAATCACTCGACCCCCTAGCTGGCTGGTTTTTATGCGGTTTTGTTTATAGCCGCAGACACGGTATCGATACGATTTTCTATTGCAAAAATGACGTTCGAACATTAAACTCCTTAATTTCATAAAAATATTACTTCATCATTATCCTAAAAACAATGCCTATTTAAAATTATAGATGCAAAACTACTTTCACTACTTTTAGAACTACGCACGCAGGCTAAGCCAGCGTTCGTTCCGGCGGCGGTGCCCAGTGTCTCGGCCTGGGCAAAACCGCTGCCGTACACGAACACGGCTACAACTCCCTCCTCCGCGATTCGTCCCGCCCCCGCGACTCGTCCCTCTCCCGCGACTTGCCCTCCGACCGCGTCCGACAATCTCGCTTTAGCGATCGACTTCTTTCAGTCGATCAACTTTGAGCGCGTTAACGCTTTGGGCGACGCCATTCGCGCTGCCTCCACTGCACAACACTTTATCGCCGTTGTGCAGGAATACGCCGACGTATACGCGTCATTAAATACGTACGTCCTCCCCTCACTCCGCCGGTAATCAATGGCGTATATAAGTAGAATAAAGCCCCTATCCGTAACGATAGGATTTTTTAACGCTTACGGTCTCGCAAATCAACGTGATCAGGTTTCTGACTTTTTGCGTGACCACCAAATTGATATCTTTTTAGTGCAGGAGACCCTACTTAAGCCCGCGCGCCGTGACCCTAAAATCGCGAACTATAACATGGTCAGGAACGACAGGCTCTCTGCCCGTGGTGGTGGTACCGTCATTTACTATAGAAGAGCCCTGCATTGCGTCCCGCTCGATCCTCCCGCGCTCGCTAATATCGAAGCATCAGTGTGCCGAATCTCACTGACGGGACACGCGCCGATCGTTATCGCGTCCGTTTATCTTCCACCGGATAAGATCGTTCTAAGCAGTGATATCGAGGCGCTGCTCGGTATGGGGAGCTCTGTCATTCTGGCGGGCGACCTAAATTGTAAACACATCAGGTGGAACTCACACACCACAACCCCGAATGGCAGGCGGCTTGACGCGTTAGTCGATGATCTCGCCTTCGATATCGTCGCTCCGCTAACCCCGACTCACTACCCGCTAAATATCGCGCATCGCCCGGATATACTCGACATAGCGTTATTAAAAAACGTAACTCTGCGCTTACACTCGATCGAAGTAGTTTCAGAGTTAGATTCAGACCACCGTCCCGTCGTTATGAAGCTCGGTCGCGCTCCCGATTCCGTTCCCGTCACGAGGACTGTGGTGGATTGGCACACGCTGGGCATCAGCCTGGCTGAATCTGATCCACCATCGCTCCCGTTTAACCCGGACTCTATCCCGTCTCCTCAGGATACCGCTGAAGCCATAGACATCTTAACGTCACACATCACCTCGACATTAGATAGGTCATCGAAACAAGTTGTAGCGGAGGACTTCCTTCACCGCTTCAAATTGTCCGACGATATTAGGGAACTCCTTAGAGCTAAGAACGCCTCGATACGCGCCTACGACAGGTATCCTACCGCGGAAAATCGTATTCGAATGCGTGCCCTACAACGCGACGTAAAGTCTCGCATCGCCGAAGTCCGAGATGCCAGATGGTCTGATTTCTTAGAAGGACTCGCGCCCTCCCAAAGGTCTTACTACCGCTTAGCTCGTACTCTCAAATCGGATACGGTAGTAACTATGCCCCCCCTCGTAGGCCCCTCAGGCCGACTCGCGGCGTTCGATGATGACGAAAAAGCAGAGCTGCTGGCCGATACATTGCAAACCCAGTGCACGCCCAGCACTCAATCCGTGGACCCTGTTCATGTAGAATTAGTAGACAGTGAGGTAGAACGCAGAGCCTCCTTGCCACCCTCTGATGCGTTACCACCCGTCACCCCGATGGAAGTTAAAGACTTGATCAAAGACCTACGTCCTCGCAAGGCTCCCGGTTCCGACGGTATATCCAACCGCGTTATTAAACTTCTACCCGTCCAACTCATCGTGATGTTGGCATCTATTTTCAATGCCGCTATGGCGAACTGTATCTTTCCCGCGGTGTGGAAAGAAGCGGACGTTATCGGCATACATAAACCCGGTAAACCAAAAAATCATCCGACGAGCTACCGCCCGATTAGCCTCCTCATGTCTCTAGGCAAACTGTATGAGCGTCTGCTCTACAAACGCCTCAGAGACTTCGTCTCATCCAAGGGCATTCTCATCGATGAACAATTCGGATTCCGTACAAATCACTCATGCGTTCAACAGGTGCACCGCCTCACGGAGCACATTCTTGTGGGGCTTAATCGACCAAAACCGTTATACACGGGAGCTCTCTTCTTCGACGTCGCAAAAGCGTTCGACAAAGTCTGGCACAATGGTTTGATTTTCAAACTATTCAACATGGGCGTGCCGGATAGTCTCGTGCTCATCATACGGGACTTCTTGTCGAACCGCTCTTTTCGATATCGAGTCGAGGGAACCCGCTCCTCCCCACGACCTCTCACAGCTGGAGTCCCGCAAGGCTCTGTCCTCTCACCCCTCCTATTTAGCTTATTCGTCAACGATATTCCCCGGTCGCCGCCGACCCATTTAGCTTTATTCGCCGACGACACGACTGTTTACTATTCTAGTAGAAATAAGTCCCTAATCGCGAAGAAGCTTCAGAGCGCAGCCCTAGCCCTAGGACAGTGGTTCCGAAAATGGCGCATAGACATCAACCCAGCGAAAAGTACTGCGGTGCTATTTCAGAGGGGAAGCTCCACACGGATTTCCTCCCGGATTAGGAGGAGGAATCTCACACCCCCGATTACTCTCTTTAGACAACCCATACCCTGGGCCAGGAAGGTCAAGTACCTGGGCGTTACCCTGGATGCATCGATGACATTCCGCCCGCATATAAAATCAGTCCGTGACCGTGCCGCGTTTATTCTCGGTAGACTCTACCCCATGATCTGTAAGCGGAGTAAAATGTCCCTTCGGAACAAGGTGACACTTTACAAAACTTGCATAAGGCCCGTCATGACTTACGCGAGTGTGGTGTTCGCTCACGCGGCCCGCACACACATAGACACCCTCCAATCCCTACAATCCCGCTTTTGCAGGTTAGCTGTCGGGGCTCCGTGGTTCGTGAGGAACGTTGACCTACACGATGACCTGGGCCTCGAATCAATTCGGAAATACATGAAGTCAGCGTCGGAACGATACTTCGATAAGGCTATGCGTCATGATAATCGCCTTATCGTTGCCGCCGCTGACTACTCCCCGAATCCTGATCATGCATGCACTCGTTCTACCATTAAATTGAAACTTTGAGGTCGTGTCTCAAGGTGAACGTCAATTTCGTTGTAATGTCTTATAGCCTAAGTAATAATTTAGCACTAGATTAGTTGTGAGGATGTGTGCATTGGTACACATCACTAGCTCATCCTGGGTCTATTTATGGAAATAGACAAAGAATCTTGAAGAGAATCGACTACAATCACAATTATTAGCAATGCCAAGAACACAGCTGAACTCTTCATACGATGTATGGACAATTAATTCCCTTTATTCTAAAATACTAAAGTAGTTGGATAACCCTATATAATTTCGTCAGCTTCCAACAAACTCAGTTAAAAAAATCTTGGAATTTCCTCTAAGTTACCCTCTTTTTGATGCTTAGACACGTGAACAAGGTCAAGGCCCACCTGGTATTAAGTGGTTACCGGAACCCACAGATTTAAATACAACGTTAATGCTGCCACCCATCTTAAGACATGAGTTCTATAGTGCATGTTTTGCTCAAACCGGAGCACATTATTACTTCACGGCAGAAAGAGACAGGCTGGTGGTACCTATCTGTGCGAGTTCTACTACTACAAGAGCTAATAAAAACCTCTCGAAAATTACCTTGCCGCATTTATAACAGACTTATTAAGCATATCTGTCTATAGCTTAAGAAGATGTATCGGAACCATTGCCGGGTTTGTTCCTCAACTATAAGGACGTGAATAAGCTGTCTAACCAAATATATCATAATCATAACACGCAACGTGTATAATAGAAACAACAATTACGGACATGGACCCGGGAACCGTTAGAGGCGTCACACTAGACAGCGACAAACTGACCTTAACACTTGCGGAAGAACTTCACGCAGAGACGTAACCAGGATTCATTGATTGCAGTTACATAATAATTACTACATTATTCTATTAGGCCAGCAACGTTTGAGACCGTTATAAATGAAAAGCTCATATTATTATTTAGCTCATATCAAATAAAACCAATATAAAATAAAGCCAATATAAAACATGCATATCATGCTCCGAGGTGGTCCCACTACCCATCAGCCCTCACCGTCAAATAAAAGTCGAAAATGGTTCTTCTATAATTATAACAAATGTAACACTTTTTCGCACACTTTTCTATACGTAATAATAGACACAGTCATATATTTGAAAACCTTATTTAGATAGTAAAGATTATAATAACGATAACTTGTAAAGATTATCACGTTTTTTTTCCACATTAATAAAAATAAAACATAACAAAAAGCTACTTATTATTTACTTCAGTTTTCATTGTCAGAATACATATTTTCTCGTCGACCATATTTGTTTCTCTCGGTACGTCCCTGAGTAGATCAATCATCTTCAAAGACATTGAATTAACTGTATTCAACTCTTGAACGGTATTTGGTCTAATTCGATCCGAAAGAAACAACGGTGTCTCGTTTTGACCAACTTTCAGAACATACATTTTTTGCGTGTTATCTCTAATTTGTCTTGAAGTACTTAGAACTAACCAAACATAATGAAGTAAAAACGTTTCTGATTGTTCCATCCACAGCATATTAAAGAAAATAGTCGTAATTTAGATAAATTAGAATTCGGTTTCTGAATTACTTGAACTTATTTAGGAATATAAATGGATAGGCATTCAGCTACTGACGCTACAAGACTTTAACATGAAAATGTTGTTTGCGAGAAACATTTTGCTTTTAATAACAAACGTTGGCACGCTTCAGGCCAACGATACAATGGTCGCACTGGCCAAAAACATGGCAACCTCGCTTCCATTAAGTAATGTTAATCCCACTTAAAATACAAACGGTCATTAAGCAAATTAAGGGAACAAACCATCGACAGCACCTTTCAGTGTGACGGCATTCGGGCCTGTTCAGAATAATATATAGCCCTATTTCGACCAACAAAGGTCCTAGCCAATTAAGGCGTTCGAGTCATCTTCCCATAGGAAGGTCGACAAACAAGAACAAGAGTCACGTTCGCCGAACACATACTTCCGCGTATTTACGCATTTTTAAGTAATTTAGGCTGCTTCGTCGCTCTCTTAATAGTCATGCTAAAGATAATGTAACCTTTTTGCCCGAGGCTAACTCGTAGGGGAAATAGTGACGAAATTGATCACAATATTAGGAGATGATTCTAATAATGTACACTGTTGAGGAAACGCTAAATAACAAGCTGCATGTTCTTGTTAAAATATGTCCGTATAATCTATACTAATATATAAATCTACAGTGGTTTTTACGGATGTTCCGTTATAACTACTGAACCATGCATCCGATTGACTTGAAACTTGGTATCCACGTAGAAAATACATGTGCTTAACGGATAGGCTAATATTTATGTGAGTGTTGGAGACGCTCTAATAATAATGACAATAAATAATATGTTAATTTTAAATGCGCAGCGAACTGGGCGAGCACGGCTAGTACATGTATATAAATAATACGGATTTCTAATCAATAAGATTAACATTAAATAATAAGAACATGACAAGACTCCACGCATAGAAAAATACCCATTTATTTCTACAAACTTTATTTGAGTACTTTTTCCGAAGCGCCCTTAAATACTACATCATTATTGTTGACACTAAGAATGGAATCTAAGCTAACGTTTAAATATTTTTTTGCTGCTCCAGCAACATCCCAATCCAAGGACTTGGACCGTTTCCGGCTGCCCACGTAACGTTCGACAATACGAGATAAATATTTTCGCCTGTTAGTGGTGTACAACCAATCATCAGAATTCGATCTTTGCTTTGTTTCCATGTTCAGTGGTGTATTAGGCACAACTAAGAAGCTGGGTCTGGTTGAGAGTTGACCTAGTGGTCGTCTTTGGTATCGGCATCGAGGAACATTGCCACGGTCCGTCTCCTCGCGGCACGCCAACCAGTAGTAGTGAGTGATCGGATCTCTGGGACCCCACTGTCTGGATGGCACGAACGAGGAATGCAGTTTCTGTGGAATTATATTGTTTTACAACTTTTGAATGCCACTGAGAAACGCCATGAAAGCTACATTCTTTGATAGCATTGTTGAAAAATGTTTAACCGGATTTCAATCGAATTCGTCTAGATCCTGCTCTGAACACAGGCCGCTCACATTCTGTTTTTAATTTGATCAGTTGAATGCGGTTTCCATCTATAGCATTACCGCAACCTTTGTCAACTAATCTGTTTACCTTGCGGTGTGCATCCCGCATTATAATAACCTGCCTTGTTTCCAATCAAGAACGTTTTTGTCTTAGCGGCAGTCGATATTGCGACCTGTATACCCTTAGTTTATATTATCGTCCAATTCACATTTATTTTTAAAATTCTAAACGATCCATTTGTGTGTGCTACACCCAAACACCTAAAATAGCTTTATGAAGTCAACACAATATTTTACTACCGAAAAATATGCTCCCGGAAAAACATTTTCAACACAGAGATATGGTCATAGTTTATGATATAATTAAGGAAATTACTATGAATTCTGAGCACGCCTTAATATGCTTTAGTTAATAAAGACAAGGACTCGACCTCATTCAAAGAGTAAGAAGAGGAAATAAGCAATGGATGTGGTTTATGATTTGAATACGAAAAAGAATTCGCAGAGCGCGTTCAATTGCCGAAAGCGTACTATTGCTTGAGTATGATGACTTTCTATAGTTATACTTAATAAAATACTTTCGGATTTTGATCAGTGCTTTTCCAAATTTGCTTACAAAAATGTACCTCTATTTTAATTGGTGCATTTCGTATAACATACCTTTTTTTCTTTTAAATCGTTACAGTACTTTAATTTCTGTGAAACAACGTATTATGTCTATTTTTATAAAAGGCAAAGCAGATTGTAGATCATTAAAAATCGCCATGGCCGAATTTATCTAAAAAACCGTAGTCACTCTATATCTTACCCCGAAAAAGTCAAACTGCACTTGTTTTTTCACAGATACTGCGGCGGCTATAGCGAAGATGAGTAATGCTAGAACCGCGATTACTGAAGCAGTACTGGCTGACCAAGGTGGCTGGTTCCATTCCCAAACGTCCATAGAATTGACAGTAAGCCACCACACGAACATCGGGGCAATGACTCCCGGCGCCGCACACCAGCCCCAAACCCAATATCTCACCAGCTCGGCACCGATGAGGAATTCTACATCTTCCACTAAAAGTTTCCATCCTGTAAATAAAATTCATATACCAGATATAATAGGTATGTATACTACATATTTCCATATCTTTATTTTTTCGATGACAGCAATGACATTTTATTTTTTATTTTTCCTTCCTACCTAGGCCGATAGCCTTGAGAGGCTATATCAGCTTTACCCTAGCGTGTAGATGAACTCTCTAGGCTCAAACCGGAGGTGTTGCTATAGCACGACCGTCTTATTGCGAGTGACAGATTAAAACAAACACAAAATGGCGGTGGGCCATTGAGTGTTCCCAGCTTGAAAAAATGTATTTAAATGTTTTTGTTGTATTTATCTTTGGTCAAAACATAATAAATATATGCGATCGATATCATTACTTATTTCGTCACAACACTACAACTACCAAATTAGAACTGTCATCAAGAAAATACAGAAATGGAAATAGTATGTACATATAGCGTTATATTAATTAAAAGGATTACATTAAAGCTTATTATAATTTGTTTTAAAACAATAAACACTGTAATATTCACAATAATTAATAATCTACAAATGAAATTAATTTAAAAACAAATCAAATTTATCTTTGGACAGAATTTTTTTTCTTCTGAAACAAGTTGTTCGTTATCTCTGAAATTCAAAAAATGGCTAAATTAAGTTTCACTTTAATTTAAAAGTTATCAGAATTTTTAACAAATAACAATAATACTTGCTTGTAATAATCTGGGTTGAAGTTCATTTATAATAAAAAAGCGAAATTTACCGTAAATAAAAATAAAAGGTAGTATCTCTAGAATAGTAGTCAAGCTTATCAACATGGGTGTAGCCGTGTCTTCAATAAGAGTCAACGCCGGTAGCCGGCCCGCCAATGTCGCCACAGACAAACACGCCCCGAGCAATGAACACGCTATCGAAGTGACTCTCCACTTTAGACCTCCCAGCCGTCGTAGTCTATCGTAAACCGGATAAAGAAATGCTAGCTGAAAAGACGTAATCCGATATATTTGATTGATAAAGAAAATGAAACAATATCACCGACGAACCTTAAAAAAACAGAAAATACAATTATTTTTTTTTTTGCTTTGGTGGTTGGACGATCTCATGATCCACCCGGTGTTAAGTGGTTACCGGAGCCCGTGGGCATCTACAACGTAAATGCCGCCACCCACCTTGAGATATAAGTTCTAAGGTCTCAGCATAGTTACAACGGCTACCCCACTCTTCAAACCGAAACGCATTACTGCTTCACAGCAGAAATAAGCAAGGCGATGGTGGTACCTACCCGCGCGGACTCACAAGAGGTCCTATCACTAGTAAGTAAATTAAGTAAAACTCTTCCTGATTTAAAAATTTAATAGCGTAAAACTCCTAGGAAGGTTATCTATTTAAAAAGGAGTAGGTATTGAATGACGAAACTTTTGTGGCATCATATAATAAAAATGCAAATACCATGCAAAATTTATGAATTTGCGTAATTCACAATGCACGGGATGATATCAAGCATCCTGCCTATTTCTGTTGCAAAACAGTAATGCATTCCGGTTCCGAGGGTGGGACAGCGTACACTCATGTTGTGATTCATCTATACAAATAAAATGGTAAATTTTAAAGTCATTGAATACGTACCGTTGAAACAACTCCTGATAAAAACAACAATGCAAATACGAGTAGCGTCCACGCTTTATTCAGTTGGTCGTCTTCTGCTGTTTGATATACTTGCTCGAGAACTGCGAGCACTCCTGCGTGTTTGACAGGACCAGTAACACTGTACCAGAATATCATGCCTATCCAACATGCTAATAGGTTGGCGCCAACAATAGCTACAGCCGTCCTAATGATGAAGGAATATTCGATATTTTAAATCGATTTACTAAATAATATAATATTGAGTTAATACGTTAGCTAAATATTTCATCGTTAATAGTGTGTAGAGCATGGATTGCCCAGTCATCGTTCTTGTCGAGCTCGTCGGCTCGACGAGTAAATTAACCCATAGACACAGCCCACTGAGTTTCTCACCGGATCTTCTCAGTGGGTCGCGTTTCCGATCCGGTGGTAGATTCTGCGAAGCACGGCTCTTGCTAAGGTTCGTGTTAGCAACGTCGTCAAGTTTGAGCCCCGTGAGCTCACCTACTAGTTAAGGTTACGCTGAAATAGGCTGTCAAGGCTATCAGCTTAGGTAAGTAAAGAAAAAAAGTGAACTATAATTTGGTGCTAGCTTCAATAAAGCTCTATTCAGAGCGAAGGATTTTTATTTTCTTTTAAGGTACATACAACATGTGCACGTGCGACCAGAATTTTATTGTAACTTACACTAACTATGTTGCCACACTTATTAGTTTGCTCCCACATTCAAAAACAATCATACAAAAGTTCATGCTTAGGATTGCCCTAAGCGATTAGTAAAATTAAAGACCCAATATAGTTATTTAATCTTTCTAAGGATTGCTACAGGTCATGTTTTCATTTGAGGCGACACCTTTATTCTGCATTGTAATATGACGCTTGCTTAGTAATAAAAGTATACAGTAAAAAAAATGTATTAACAAAATCACATTAAGCTTTAGGATGTTTACGTTTTACTTATTATTGTTTGTTTATGTTCTTATATCGTAATTAAGTAATGATGGTAGTTAAACAGAACTTCCGGTATACTCGTTTCGAGTAATGCGTTTATGAATGTTGAGGCTTCAAATTTGCCAATTAATTTTATCTTATTTTTCATTTTTTTTATCAGTTAATACGTATAAAAGTTATCGATATCCGGTATCGATTTTACGGTTTATGTATGAAGGAAAAACCATCGTCTATTTTAACCGCACAGCGGTCATGTATTTAGATTTGAAAAGCTGTTGCACTATATAATGAACAGCTCGACCTCAAGGTGTATCTTCATCATCATTCTCCTGTCCTTCTCCCAGTCACCTGGGGTCGGCGTAACAAGTTTTGTCTTTCCATACTTTTTTCTTTTTGTCTTTTTTCAATTTTTTTTTGTTTGTTTGTTTAATGTGGGTGCCGTCAAAAAACACGTAACACGAGNTCCCCCCCCCCCCCACTTCATTTACGTAGAACGTGAACATATTTTTGAAGTATAGAATGTTAAGGAGCTATTTAAACCCCTATTTTGAAACCTTATTTATTGGTGCTCCAGCTGTATTGGTCTTAGCGGGTTGTTATATAGCCTATAGCCTTCCTCAATAAATGGGCTATCTATCACTGACAAGAATTTTTCAAATCGTAGTTCCTGATATTAGCGCGTTCAAACAAACAAACTCTTCAGCTTTGTAATATTATAAGTATCGATTAATGAAACGTGACTCACCACTGAACGTTCGTGCTGGAGTAAACGGAATCTCCAGCAGATATGAGGAACCCTCCCGCGACCTGACTTGATATCAACGCTTGAACGATAGCCCCATGCCAAATATCAGGACGCAGAAAGTTCATCCAGTCACTGGACCGAGCGAACGATGACAAATTGCCTTTATCCCCGTGCGCGATCAAAATTATGAACGTCACCAATACTATCAGGGGCCCGAGTGCGTAGAATATGCGTTTCATAAATTTTACCGGGTTGTAAAATCTGCAATTCAAGCCATATAATATAACACCGGTATAATCAAAATAACTTTTCTAGTAAAATATATCATTAAAGATCCTTAGACACCAGTTATCAACGCTTGAAACTAAAGGCAGCATTGCAAACCTATACGTGATTTAATATAGGTGCTAAAATTAATTAGTGCAGTTAACCTTAATATCATTCAACCACTTACATAAACGGAAACAGTATCCATAGTACAATAAGAATCAGCGCCACTGCCAAAAAATACTCTGGTTTTTCGCTTGCAGGTGCTAGAAATGTTTCACTGAAAATAAAATCATTAAACAATACGAAATCACGTTAAAATTTAAATAATTCGATAATATTGTTAATTTACCTATCTATATAATAATATGATCAAATTTGGTTATTACTCACTCTAAGCATTCTGAAGAATTCATGGTATTCACATATATTTCCTGAAAAAAATTAATTTTTAATTACTTTCATATGCAACTTTTAATAGAATATCATACAAATAGTATAACTTAGTATAGGAATAGTAGATATAGCTAGTTACCGGTGTAATATAGAATCCCATACACTCCGGGAAGGGAATATTATTGCTTAGGGTGTACAAAGAATATGTTATGACTAGTGATAAATAAACACTCGTGTATATTGCGCTCAAAGTCGTAACCAACAACCGGAGATAACCAACACCTGAAACAGAGATGTAACTTGATCCACAATTTGATAAATAATTTATCCAATTACTAATTTAATTTTCGTCATCAGAAGTAAGGGAAATCGTTTAATTTTTTTTTCGTCTGCTCTATAATCATTTTCGTATTAATTATTTTATCTTAACCTAAAAACGGAAACAGAATAAACTGTTCATCCAAGATGGAACTGTTAATTTAACAAAAAATATAATTATACTAGCTGATCCGGCAAACTTCTTGGTGCCTTAATCGATAAATAAATGACCTAAACTTTTGTATAAAATAAACTTAAAACAAACAAAAGGAATCCGTCCGACGGGGGACACATCAAAGGGAAAACAAAATTGTTATTTTTTATATTTAATTCCGAGCATTTTCATATTTATCTACCTTTTAAACCTTCTCGGGACTTCCACAAATAAATCAAAACCAAAATTAGCCAAATCGGTCCAGCCGTTTTCGAGTTTTAGCGAGACTAACGAACAGCAATTCATTTTTATTATATAATTATATTTTATATATAATATGATTTAAAAAAGATTATATCTTACCCTTAAAGAACGGCACTGCTCTCCAGACTCCAACGGCATCTTGCTGGCTGAGCTGTCCAATAGCCAACTGTAGCAGAACAACCGGCAAAGCTACCACAACGAATGCCAGTGTCAACACCAGAGCGAATGTTAGACCGCCGTAACGGAATGCTTCTCGAGGCGCACGCCATGTGCTCGTAAAACCCACTGCAACTGCTACGGTGCATAAGTGCGCACGAATCAACGGCCAACTGATCCATTTCTGTAAGGAATTTAAATTGTTTTGTACTTTAATTTTCTTTATTGCTTGGATGGGTGTACGAGCTCACAGCCCACCTGGTGTTAAGTGGTTACTGGAGCCCATAGACATCCACGACGTAAATAAGTTCTAAGGTGTCAAGTATAGTTACAACGGCTGCCCCACCCTTCAAACCGAAACGCATTACTGCTTTACGGCAGAAATAGGCGTGGTGGTGGTACCCACCCGCGCGGACTCACAAGGGGTCCTACCACGAGTAATGACTGTTATTGGCCTTAAAACACCTTATCCTTAAAGAATGGAGTGCGTATGAAGAGATCTATTCTCAGCATTGGATGGATATGGGTTAAAGAAGAGTAGGTACTATAATAGCACTACTATTAATGTTTAATTTCACGTTTGTTATCCTTAATATTATACAGTATTTTCGAAGTTTCGAATACTAATTTTATGAATAAATTCGAGTGCGGCATGGAAATAGTAAACAATATCAGGCAGATAAAGTTTTTTCAAAAACAGTCGTCCGTGACCACAAAAACTATAAATTATTAGAAAAGTGGGAAATCATTAAGGAGAAAAAAATGCGCAATGAAATTATAAAATTAGTTTTAATTATGTTTATCGCGAAAACCGAAGAAAATACTTAATTTCATATTGATTTAATTACGTAAGTTTCATATTAATTGTTGCTTTACAAATTTTTCGATTAGCTGTTAGTTCATAAGAAGACTGAAATAAATAAATTAACGAAATATTAATTTTACTTGTATATAAATAATATACTTAGTATATAATTATGTTTGTTTATTTTGATGATGAGCAATCAAAAAATTAATGATTGAACACTAAACTCGAAGATGTGGGCGTATCTCTTAAATTACTTCACATTTATTTTTCGCAATTTTCCAATTGCTAATATTAGACTATACTTACCTTTAATTTATAGGTATCAAACATTTCGAGCACGCTCGCACTGACTCAACACACTAAATATTTCACATATTTGAAGTCGTGGTAACGAATGTTGACACAACACAGAACTTACGATCGCAAGATTTACCGATATTCTAGATAAACGAGATAAAAACGATGTGACTAAATCGGTTTGAGAACTTATCAATCTTTCGAGTGGTATTCCTGTCCTTATCTCGTGGAAATAGCACCGGTCGTTCGAAATGCACATACCTACTACAATCTTAGGTTTGTAGCATTAGTTACTCATTATAAAACACTGCGTTGTTAATTGTTTACTAATAAAACAACGCATCTTGATGCTGTTTTTAATACTATTGAAATGCTTTATTGTATTCGCTATATATTTATTTAAAAGATAACAAGTTGACTGTTAATATGATTGGAAAATACACGCCGGATATATTTAGTAGCTGGTGCTTCCGATCCAGTGGTAGATTCAACAAAGCACTGTTCTTTTTAGGTCAGATGTAAACAAACACTTTCAGGCTGAGCCTGCTCTTTCCCTTTAAGCTCGCCCACCAGTCATGAAGCCAGAATAACCACTTAAGACCACTGGCAAAGTGAGCAATAAAATATATTGGAAAAATATGTCCTTAGAGATCATAGTCGCGTGACAGCTGACACCGTCCTTGACATAAAGTCAAAGTTATCACAGCTGTATTGAAATAGCGGCAAATATCTTTGGGCCTAAACCCAAACACTTCACGACAGATATAAGAAGTGCTATGTACAGAATCGTGCTCAAAGCATGCTGGACTGGCCGATTGCTTATAGCACTTTTACGGCATATTCTTTATTTTATTTCAATTATTTATACAATAATCACTTAACAGCCGTGGCAAATATTTTACTTATTTATTTATTGCTTAGGTGGATGGACGAGCTCACACCCCACCTGGGTTTAAGTGATTACCGGAGCCGATAGCTACATCTACATTTTTTTTTTTTTATTGCCCTTGTAGGCAGACGAGCAAACATCTAGTATTTGCTAATTTTTATTATCTTAAAATGAGTTTCATTATCTTAAAATGAGATTCTTAAAATGAGATTCAGTGAGTTAAAATAAACCTTGTGTTGGAAAATCATCACTCATTAAATAAAATAAACCTTGTGTTGGGAAATCATCACTCATTAAACTGAGGTAAAATTCCGCGATTATTGAGTTTTTGTAATGCGTTGTGTCGGAAACATCCAACCAACAAAACAGCCAACAAAAGGCTCTCTTCGGCCGAGAATCGACAATTAGGCGAACGCTATACCATACAAATAGCTCAAGGCTAAGCAATTATTCACGAAAGCTAATTTCCGTAACAAATAAAAAAGGAGAATCTACAAATAAAACTCCCGATTATTTTTCATCCTTTATTGTAAATGTATTGATTGATCTTAAATAAATACTAAATATTTGTTACACATGTATTAGGGATGCGATGCTACATATCCGATTTTGGTTACGGCTACGATCCCCATTAAAATAAATGCTGATTGCATCTTAGCAAACGTAAAACATACTGTTTGGAGAGATTATGACGTTGAGACGGTGATATTTAATTATCTATGTATGTAGGTTAATTTTAATGAAAACATCGATATTTTAATGGGTTTACATAGACATTCAACACATATCTAAATCTAGTAGTAAAAATATGATTACGTACTAATAAAAAAAAAATTAAACGAATACACCAAAGTTACTTCAATTCTAACACAATTCTAAAATAAACTAATATAAATTAACTTGATACGTATTCCTTAATAATAACCTACTAATAAAAATTCCATTGTCATATAAGAATATCGTGTAGACACATACTTAAATCTACTTGTATAAGCGTGAACAATCATAATTATAAATAGTAAATGCGGGTCTTATACGTACATTGATGTACTTGTTAAGTTACCAATCATAAAGGAAGGGAATGAAACTTCGAAATTTTATTTGTCATGAAAAATATTGCCATTGATGCGGATAAAATAAAAACTCGCACATTATTTTCTGGTATAACGGTACTAAAAATATAAATATATATAACCGCATTATAACTCATAAACGCACACGGTAAAAACATCTCAAAATTCTATCCTAGGATTTTTATGTTTAGTACTTAAGTTTAAATAAATAATACCTACATACTTCGAATAATGGATAATGTAGTAATAATCGTAATAATCACACATACCTATTGTAAAAGAGACGAATTGGATTTTTAATTGAAGCAGGACACGGCGACGTTTATAAACGTTCATAATGAAACTACTCAATGTTATATATTGATTACGTTAACGCACATTCATTCCAAGCGATATAATTGTATAAAATGACATGATTAAAATCTACCGCTTAATAAATTTCAAATACGCTTATAAGCATGAGACCTCTAACTCCTCTCTACCGCCCTCTAAGTCGGGAATATATTATATTATTTGATGTATTTGGCAATGCAACTCATAGTATGCCAATTTCAATATTCCAGAAACTTCTGTTGTCCATACTAGATTCCGTCATCGGTGTCTCTATGGGGGCTTTTAATTAACGATTATTTAGATGCGTGGCATTAGCGACAAAACCACCCATTACACTCCCTGCATAATCTCAATATTCTGTTGCATACATTTTAATTGTGATGAACAATAAACATCTATGTTTATATATTCATAGTGAGTTATTGTCGCTTTATAAGCCCGTTACAAGAAGACCGTCAAAAAGTTTTATTCATATAATAATAAAAAGAATAAAACCGTATGATAATGCTCAAATAACGGGCTTATAGAGATCCGAGTGGTTATTTAATGATATCGTATTTACTGAAGCGACCGCGGCCTTGTTAGTTGTACGTAAGAGTTCCCGTGTACTCGTTATCGTCAGACTATGTTGTCGTTCAATCAAAGCCAGAAAAATTCTAAATAATCACATTAAATAGTTGTAAATCGTATGTATTTTATAAGCGGTTTCCGAGATAATTGAGTTAATTGAACCAAATTCCAAAATTTCGGTAATTACTGTTGGACACATCGCTCGACGCTCGATGGTAACATCATTCGGCCTTATTCTGTCGCCGAGTATTCGTGCGTCTCAATTCGAACGATAGAATGACCATGCTATTGACACTTCGACCTCATGTCTCAAGGCGACGGCAATCGCTTTGTACAAGGGTTATCGCTGTACAACAAAAGAAATGATTACAATAGTTTTTAATTTGAATATCCGAGATGAATGTATGGGGTTGTGGTGAACGGCATTGCACGCATTTGACTTGGATTTGTTAAGCTCGACTAGCTAAGCTAAGTTAAGCTAAGCGACTCGATCGTTGACTTGTATGTGTAATCGTCAATTGCTTTGATTACGTACGTGTTTTGGAATCAGAAAAGAAGGTAACCTTCAAAATTGATGATATCACACAAAACCGGTATTTTCGATGTCATTAATGATATTAATATTTTAAAAAAAAACAACAGATACTTCAACTAAAACTTAAATGTGCGAAATTTAGATATTTTACTACGATGCCTGTAATCAATAAATTGTAAAGAACATTTTGGGAATATTTTCTTCGACCAACCAAACAGACTTTTGCATGTTTTACCTACATCGTTCTCTATCTCTTTCGCACCTGAAAAATTGGCAAATATGCGACAAGATAATCTACATTCGCACATCCCTTAAGCTAGGCATATTAACACTTACATACATTAAACATTATTTTCTTCGCAATACCCGCGTATAACATTTATCACTTTCTAATTCTTAAAGACAAACAAGGACGGATGGCTTAGTCCGCCCGCCTAATATTTCTTATATCAATTCCAGTCGATAAATAAACTAAAGTCATTAAGTCTAAACAAAACTATTGCGTAGAAAGGTAAACGAAAATATTTCTTAAAAAATAACTTGCTTTCAAATACCCGTCTTAATCAAAGACATTTCCGTAAGTTCGATAGATACAGTTTAGGTTGTACAATATTTGACTTATGGCGCGAATTGACGAAGAATGAAAGATAGGTCTTGTGATTTATGCTAGGCATCCTATCTCAGTCTTAATTCAGAAGTACTTCAGTTACTTTCGTTTTATATATAACATATTTGTTTGTAAATTACATTGCCAGTATCGTACAACAACGATGCCCCTGAAATGAGATATGTTTCTTAAAAAAAAAACACAAATATTTCCAATTTACTATAATATAACGACTTAAATATATGATATATTACATATCGCCATTATCTCTTTTAAAATTGGGATCTTCGAATTCATCGTTGTTCAACGAAGCTTTCGATTCATGGTAATTGAATAAAAACGTTATAGTTGAGTGATTGAGGCCTTTAACACATCTCCGCCGGGAAATCAATTTTGCGACATCCTTGAAACAAGCTTAGGATCTTACTGGATCAGTATCTTTATACGATTTACATTCGGATAACATCGCAAGACTAATATTAAGAAGAAAACCAAGAATCATAGAAAACATAAATAGTGTTATTAACATTAAAAATCGTAGCATCTGGGTCCAGAAAATTTTGTGAAATGATTACGTTAAAAAAAAACTTTTTTGTTTGTTTGTTGAAAAGGCTAATTTTACAAATGGTTTCATAAATTATTCTGTTTCTTATGTAGGTTTTTTGTTGTTGTTGTTGAAATTATTAAATTTAATTTTATCAGAATTAACTAATTATTAGCCCGTAGATGTCCACTGCTGAACATTGGCCTTCCCCAAGCCTCATCATCACGACCGGTCTTACATCCAGTCGATTCAAGTGACCATCGACAAGTCTTCGATTCACCTACCCACGTTACACCTTCTATATGGTTAGTACGAATTTTTTATCGTCTCGATTGCGTAAAAGTTAACACAAATTTGTATGTAATTGGAACAGTTTCCGTTCATTTGCCGCTAGGGGCGCTGTTCCAACTTCATACAAAATCGCGCAATCGCTACTTGAGGTATTTTCCGAATTACTTTAATCAGAATTCCTTTCGATGTAATAAACATGACATCAGACCGACTTTAGTTTGGTTTAAGGCAAATATCAAATCAATGAGCATATTGAATTCGTTAATGGTTTTTTTTATTGCCCTTATAGACAGACGAGCATACGGCCCGTCTGGTGGTGAGTGGTTACCGTCGCCCATGGACATCAGCAATACTAGGAAAACCAAGCTGTCTACTGTGAATCACAAATTTATCAAAAATGAACTGTCTTGCGAAGACGTTCAAACCAGAGGTCGTATTGTAATCATATCGACGCTTGAAAGGCAAACGTGATTAAGCGACAATGCGTGAACTTTACATTAGACTAATTTAAAGTTGAAATACCTAAAAAAAATTATATTTTTACGAATCCAGCTGTAGGATTGAAATGATTTTAATAGACCTAGAATTTTTTTTTTTGCGCATCGAATATGGTTATTGCCTATCATTTATGTATAAAGCAGTCATTGCCGCTTAGTCACGTTTGCCTTTCAAGCGTCGATATGCTAGATAGCCGATAGAGCAAAATCACAGATGTGGTACAAAAAGCAGTTTCGCGGCGGAGGCGTGTTATAGGGGCGCGAGTGTGACCACGTTGCGTTTAGAAGCCTTGCGCGTGCCGGCACACGCCGCAGCCGAGCGCGAACTCCTCGCCGGTCGCCGGATGTTGCACGTGCAGAGGACACTCGTCCGATGTACCCGGCAGCTGTTCACCTTTAGGACCTGATGAAATACAATAACATATTCCTCATATTAATATAGAAGATTCGATATTTTTCTTCAACGCACAAAATATTTATGCATAATTTCAAAGATATATGTACATATATATTAATAATATAATATATTAAAGTCAACAAAATCAAATCAATATTTTTTTATTCAACATAAATGAAAGTACATACTTGTTGAACGTCAAAAAGAACTACCGCCAATTCACAAAAACAAGCCTCCGTCCTGAGAAGAACTGGCAAGAAACTCAGCGAGCATGTCTTATTTTTTTTAAACTTTAGTTTTTTTTTTAATACTACTTTTTTATATTCATTTTTATAAGAGGTTTTATAACGTAACAATTATTGCAATACTGAAATGCCGGAAGCGAGCAACTCAACAAAACATTCAATGATATGCTACAATACGTAACTTATATAGATAGGAATGTAGTTTAATTTAAAATCACCTGCTGGACATTGAGGCAACAGATGTCGCGGTATGTGTGTGACGCGCTGGAAGTCGTCGTGGCAGGCGTTGCAGAAGTGCGACGTGCCGAAGCAGAAGAAGACTGCAACCTGTCCATAAACATTACTAGTAAGCACATATTCGGTGGAGCAGTAGTTAGTGACGCCGACTGTTGCGACGAGGGTCGTGGGTTCGATTCCCACATCGTGTGATGAACAGGTTTGTTTTGTTTTTTTTTTGTCTGAAGTGGTTTTTACGGATGTTCCGTTATAACTACTGAGCCGATTGACTTGAAACTTGGTATCAATGTAGAAAATACATGTACTTAATGGATGGGCTAATATTTATATGAGTGTTGGACTCCTACACCAGTTGCAGGGGCGTTAATGATGAGAATATTTGTGTCTGTCTGAATTATTTCTCTATAAGTGTGGGAAATTTTATAATCCTCCGTCCGCGCAATCTCCGTAAAAAGGGGTACAAAGTTTTTGATTCACGTATTTAATACATAGATATTAAATGCAGATGTTTGTGAACAAACGGGCCGCCAACTGTATTAGCACATTACCACGTGCAAGTTTAGTGCCATATTATATAAAAATAAATAAAAAATCGAATTTCTTAACGTAAACTTACCGAACAGCAATACCGGCATTTGTACTCGAGAAAGTCGGCTCCGTGTTTCGGGCAAGTCCTAGCGCCGGTGACGTCACTGCAAGCGCCGCATACGAGCTCAGCCGGCTCCCACCAGCCATTCGACTCGGCCTCACAACGAGCCAGCCCTCCGAAATAGGCCTGCATTATAAACATAATGGCGATTAAATTAATATTCTCTTTCCTAATATAAAGTTCACTACGTCGTACACTACGTTTGCCGGTTCGCGGTCTCCACTCCAGAACACGTCTACCCCAACGGTTATCGGTTCTGCGACATATGTGACCAGCCCACTGCCACTTCACCTTACATAAAGTAGCTAACATAAAGTTATCCAATCGAAATACGTTTGCTTAATAGCCCCAATAGGAAACCAGATACGTCTAATTACTCATATCTATATAAATGAAAATAAATTGTTGTTCGTTAGTCTCACTAAAACTCGAGAACGGCTGGACCCAATTGGCTAATTTTGGTCTTGAATTATTTGTGGAAGTCCAAAGAAGGTTTAAAAGGTGAATAAATATGAAAATGCTCGTAACTAAATAAAAATAACACTAAATAAAAATAACAATTTTGTTTTCCCTTTGATGTGTCCTCCGTCGGACGGATTCCTCTTATTTGTTTTAAGTTTATTTTATACAAAAGTTTAGGTATTTTATTTATCGATTGAGGCACTACGAGATCTGCCGGGTCAGCTAGTTTTTTATAATTAAAAATTACGGAGTGTAGAACTAAGGAGCACCATCTCAATGTATTAAAAAGTATCCGTTAAAAGGAAACCCCACTTAACGAGTGCGTGCGCCAAGCGTCAGTTCGCAAACTATGCAGAATACCTGTCAAGGCTTTAATAAACAAGAATTCCACATGACCCCGACTGACCTGCCAAGAGCAACCGACAACGATGATGATGAAACGTAGCCAATTAAGGTGGCGCCACAGTAGCAAGTGGAAAGATTTAAAAAACACCACCATGAACTACCACACTTTGTTCTGTTTAAAACTGCTACATCTACATCATTTCCACTTCCTACACTAGCGCTATTTCGATGAATTTTCTAAAAATAACTTGCTGTCTACAGACGGACAGATACTTTATCAACTTGTCGCCTATACAAGATAGTGCTCGTTACCTCTACCCTCCATATTCAAATTGTAGCTTCATTGCGCGTGACGTCACTCGCGACCCAAACGGCTTTAAGTTGATGAGTTCTGAATCTCAGTTTTTACAGTACAACGGCTGCCGCACCTTTCAAGCCGAAACACATTACTGCTTCACGACGGGAATAGGCAGGTTGGTACTTATCCGTTCGAACTCGCATGAGCTAATAAAAACCTGTCGAAAATTACCTTGCCACATTTATGACAGACGTAATAAGCATATCTGTCCATGGCGTAGGAAGCCGGATCGGAAACATTGCGTCCTTTGGTCCCGCCCGGAGCAGACAGACCCTCGTACTCGAGTCTCATTAGTGCCTTGCGTTTCACTTCATCACGCAGTTGCCTGATAGGTGTTAACAACTCTTCAAGGGTCCAGTGGTTTATGTCCTCCTGGAGTAAAAATTACAGTAAATATAAATTAAAACTTAAATATTAATTTCTATAGTCTTTACGAGTCCTGCATATGATCAATATTAATATCCCGTTCATTAATATATATAATAAATAAATATATTATAATACTAGCTGTACCCGTCCGCTTCGCTGGGCGTTTAAAATAAACATTATTATTTCTCACCCCCACAAAGATTCTCATCATTAACGCTCCCCCAACTGGTGTAGGGAGTTCAACGCTCATATATATATTAGCCTATCCATTCAGTACATGTATTTTCTACATGGATACCAAGTTTCAAGTCAATCGGATGTATGGTTCAGTAGTTATAACTATTAGTATAGAAGTATAGATATAAAATTTTACCTTGCAAATTGGGCACTGCGAGAACGAGAAACTAATCCTGGGACCGTTCCACTTATTGACGAGCACCTTCCTGCAGCAGTGCAGATGGAACACGTGCCCGCAAGTTAGCTAAAAGCGGCAAAAAAAACACCACAAAGTTATATACGATGCTTATTCTATCAGTTTTTATTGAGAACAATTCAATTTACCTGTATCGCAGGGGCGGCCTGCAAGGGGTCAGTGAAGCAAATCATGCACATATCGTCCGCGTCCTGTCTCAGTGGCGCTGCCTCACCAGCTGAGACGCCCGCGCACCCATGTAGGCACGGCAGACAGGTTTGCTCTCCTCGAACTCCACCGCAGAGGTGACCGCAAGCGAGAATGACATTACATGCTTCCCGACCATGGTCCTGGATAAATATATAGATTAATACGTGAAGCAAAAACTTTGTACCCCTTTTTACGAAAATTGCGCAAACGGAGGTATATAAAATTTGCCACACTTATAAAGAATACAGAGGAATGCAGAAAGTTAGTATTTTTTTTTAATTATGCATAAAAAAATACATTAAATCAATAAAAAAAACTTCAGAGGTGTCAAGGGACACCCGGATGGAACGAAGTTCCTTTCGATTAATTAGTGAAGGAATTGTAAATTTTTTTTTAAAGTTATAATAATAAATTACGGCATTATGAAGAAGAAAAAAACAATACTATGAACTAAATTACTATTGTTGAAACGCTATCTCGAGAAACTGTACTCATTACGCGGACCAATCGGATACGAGCAATGTCACGCGATAAGCGCCTACACGTTGATTGGTCAGAATGACGGATCTAAAAAATGTCGTGANGAACTAAATTACTATTGTTGAAACGCTATCTCGAGAAACTGTACTCATTACGCGGACCAATCGGATACGAGCAATGTCACGCGATAAGCGCCTACACGTTGATTGGTCAGAATGACGGATCTAAAAAGTGTCGTGACAACTTTTCGTAAGAATTTTTTCCGTCTAGCCCCCTTTCACAACGCGCGATAAGGAACTTCGTTCCAAAAGACATTACATACACTACCATGTATTTGACACACACACGTATGCATACTATTTGTTTATTGTTAAGCTTTTCTTATTGCTTATATAGTCTGTGGTCAAATTGAGAATAGATTAAATATTGTTTGTCTTTAATAAAAGTCTAAAATGTAGTCTTGGCGAAATCTGTGATTATAGAAGTATAATAAATCTTTCACAATAGAACCATAATAATGTTCAAACTTATAATTCCAATCAATAGTCGAATTTCGACTACCAGGGGACCACTAGTAATGATTAAGACGTCTTTAGCCTAATAGGTATAGAGCCCTGTTTTTTAATATTTGTGTCAAATGTGTTTTGGGCCATTCGATATCATCATCTATAAGTGAACGACTCGCTTGGATGGAGAGAGATGGAGAATCGGGTCGGGTGGCGAGTCTTGGAAGAAGCCTATGTCCAACAGTGGACTCAAAATAAGCTTTTAATTATGAACGAATCGCAGCAAAAAGACCTGTCTCGGTTACGCTGGCATAGCCTCTAAAGGGTAGCTTAAGTAGGAAATATAATACAAAGGGATCACATTGTTAATCTATTAAGTATCTATTAGGTTAACTACACCCACGCCTACAGACCTGACATTGTTGATCGGCGCAGATATTTCCGATGGTGAGTATGCCGGTAGATTCTCTGGCCCCGCAAAAGCGACATGTGCCAGAAGGAGCCACCGGTCCCGAAGCCACGGCTGGTCCCTCGGATGATGGTCCGGCTTCACAGACTCCACCTTCCATTCCTCTGAACTCGGCTAAGGCTTTCAGCGTACGCCTGTCGACCAGGAGCAGCAGCCAAAACAGCTTCGCGCGTCCACAGCCTTCGTGTATGTCTATGCGTATAGCGCTCTCCTCCTCCTTGCAGATCTAAAAAACAAGTATACACAATTTATTTAAAATCATTTTAGTAATCAATAGATCAATACAAAAAAATCTGGATTTTAATTGTATTTAAAATATATGCGATCGTATTAATATCTATTACTGGTGGTAGGACGTCTTGTCAGTTCGCACGGGTAGATACGACCACCCTGCCTACTTCTGCCGTGAAGCAGTAATGCGTTTCGGTTTGAAGAGCGGGGCAGCCGTTGTTCTGTAAAAACTGAGACCTTAGAACTCATGTCTCGAGATAGGTGGCAGCATTTACGTTGTAGAAGTATATAGGCTCCAGCTGCCACTTAGCACTAGGTGGGTCGTAAGCCCATCCAAACTATAAAAAAAATGATTTGAATAGTCAAAAACTTGTGTTTTATTGGATTAACGCAGTACAAGGATACCTGTCTGTGGTGAGTCCTGGCGGTCCTGTTTAGGTGCAAGAATCGATCGCATTCAGCACAGAGCGGTCCACAGTTGCGGCAATCTATGACCGCCGCTGTGGCACCGTCGTCGTGGTTGGCGCACAGAGGACGAGTCTCGGAGGAAGAGTCTCGACCACGAGCTCCGCGCCCGTCTCCAGAACTGTTGACCCTAACAGAAGCACTTTGGTTAAAAACGCTATGTAGGTGTGTGTAAAAAATGCTATTTTTTTATAAATACACTAACTGTACCCGTCCGCTTCGCTGGCCATTTAAAATTAGCAGTTTCATTTCTCATCCCCACAAAGATTCTCATCATTAACGCCCCCGTAACTGGTGTAGGAGTCCAACGCTCATATAAATATTAGCCTATCCATTCAGTACATGTATTTTCTACATGGATACCAAGTTTCAAGTCAATCGGATGTATGGTTCAGTAGTTATAACGGAACATCCGTAAAAACCACTGTAGATTTATATATTAGTATAGAGTATAGATATGGATTTCACGTAAACTTGTCATAGTTTTGAGTGGTAAGGAAATTATTAACTAAGTTACGTAGTTCTATTTTTCCTTTTCTTGAGGTAAGTTTTGACAGACCACAATTTTTAGGTAAATTCTTTAAAGAAATATAAAATTAAAAAATACATTATAAATAGAATAATATTATCTAATATATAAAATTCTCGTGTCACAGTTTTCGTTGCCATACTCCTCCGAAACGGCTTGACCGATTTTGATGAAATTTTTTGTGCTTATCCGGTATCTATGAGAATCGGCCAACATCTATTTTTCATCCCCCTAAATGTTAGGGGTAGTCCACCCCTAAATTTTATTTTTTATTTTTTAGACAAAATTTTTAATTTCTATTTTTTTATGATACAACATACTAAAATACATACAATCCTCAATTTTCACCCTTCTACGATCAACCCTTATTTTTTAATAGCCATTTTAGTAATTTAATCATTTTTCCTCTCCGGTCGAAAACTGATCAATCGTCATTTAATTAGTTATCCCCGCCAGATGTCTACAGGTGTCACTTCTGACCCAGTAAACAGCACGGAGTAGGGATGAGAACGAAGCCGGTCTCCTTTCTTTCTCACTCCCTACACAGTTGTCGGCCATCATTATTGTTTATGCATCAAGTGTAGTAGTAACGTTGACAATTATTATTTTGCTATCTCAGTGTAACTCTCATATTAACTTTTAATCATTCCTATTTTATCAATAATAATTAAATTATCAATTTTGAGTGTATTTTGCACGATTAGTTAATCAAGTGATTTTATAACCTCAAAAGTACTCAACACGTGACACGAGCTTCCAATAACAACGGATTTTGTGTTGTAAGTATACTTTTATTTATTTATATCGAAAATGTTGTTGATCTTATAAAAATGTAATTTGAATTTAATTTTATTAAAAAAATGTAATTGAACAATTAAGATTTTCATAGTTTACAAAAAATCAATCATTATGAATCTTTATTTTGAAATGTCAATGGAAATATTGGTTGTATGAAAAAATTATAAGAGACAATGTTTTCATAAAATTTAATTTTTTAATTTTGTTTGAAATTTTTTTCCATAAAACTTATATTTTTGTTATAATTTCATAAATTAAAACTAATCATTTCAAAACTGCGCCAAAAATCCTGGCCCTAATTATACTTTTAACATTTTTCATCATTAAATAATTTCATTAATTCTATTTATGTATGTTTTGTACAGTGAGCAATGCCAAGAAAACGCAAAGGGGCTGATTTGAGCCGCAGTACAAGTAAAGCTCGAAACTTGCGAAATAGCAGATCCGAAAGAACAGAAGAACAAATCCAGCAACAAAATACTGATGCGCGTGTCAGAATGGCGCAATTGCATCAAGAAGAGCCAGAAGATACACGAGCAGAACGCAATGAAGTCAGAAGATTAGAACAACGACAATCACGCCGTTTCACAGTCAATAGACGAAGAACAAATGACCAAAAACGACAACAGGTACATCGAGCATTTATATCTGATTCATTCCTGCGTCTAGCATTCCAGTATGAGCCCGATATTGAATATTATGCTCATTCAAAAGTGGTAATTGGTGCTATGGACAAGGAATGTCCGCATTGTCATGCTCTGAAATTAAAAAATGAGCCAGCTGGGATGTGTTGCGCGTCAGGAAAAGTGCAAATATATATATAATTATTACTTTTAATAAAATAAAACAATTAATGTTTGGTGTTTTGTTATTTTTAAACAACATTCCCTCATCGTTCACAGCGCTCCAGGCCTTTTTCACTCATATTCCACATCCTTATACACTTCCAATAAGTTAGTAATTTTTTTTCTACACTAGAAATTCTCTAGAAATCTTATATATGGCAAGACAACGTTTGCCGGGTCAGCTAGTAAAATATATATTATAGGGAAATATTAAAATGTAACATAAATGTTTATTTTACTACGCATTATACTTTTTATTTATTTCGAAATATTAAATTTGGATTGATGCAATCAGTGAAATAAGGCAAATATCTTTTTTTATTCTGATATGTAATATGTTATGTACAAATATTTATATGGTTTCTATGTATGTATGTATCTGTGTAAATTGTAATATATAGATGTATATGTATGCTGCGTGTGTGTTCGGTTTATATGTTCTTTTTTTACAACAAAGCAATGCATACACAGCACTCTCTACACCACCGTTGGTAGACCCGTGGAGAATGCCTTAGGCATTCAGTCCCCACTGAACTCATGCGCTAAGCAGATGCATGCGCTCCTGAACTAAAGTTAAATAAAAAAGTCATAGGTCTTAGGGCCATTCTTTTTCTTCCAGCTGTGCCAGCTAAGCGCGGTTTGGAAGGCGCACTCGCAGGGCTTAGCTTAAGAGGGTCAGTAATCATATTACACAAGTATACTTACAGATCTAGATGTGATTGTTCACACACGCACAGGGAAGCTAGCGCCATCCAGATAGTGGGGGACGCGATGCAAAGCGCCGGCTGTCTCTCTTTTTCGGATACTTGCGATATGGCACATACGTAGTTGGCTAATTGGGTACGTGTCTCTAGGCCCCATGAACCAGCCAATTTATCCTTAAATATTTAATCATTCAATGACAGTACATATCTTTTGTAATTTGTTTTCATGGCTTAGGTGTGTGGACGTGCTCACGGCCCATCTGGTTTTAAGCGGTTACCGGAGCCCATAGACATCTACAACGTAAATGCTGCCACCTACCTTGAGATATATGTTCTAAGGTCTCAGTATAGTTATAACGGCTGCCGTGCCCTTCAAACCGAAAGGCATTACTGCTTCACGGCAGAAATAAGCAGGGAGATGGTACGTACCCGTGCGGACTCACAAGAGGTCCAACCATCATTAATTACGCAAATTATAATTTTGCGGGTTTCATTTTTATTGCCCTTGTAGGCAGACGAACATATGGCCCACCTGATGGTGTGAGTGGTTACCGTCGCCCATGGACTTCAGCAATGCAATGGGCAGATTTTCTACAATTACACTGGTTTTATTGTCACAACTCCGGCCGTCGTTACGATAGTATACACTACATCCGAACTAATTATAAACTTTAGACATACGAATACAAATATCTAGATCCAATTTTTTTTTATACTATTTACACAATTCAGTCTTACCTCTGCCATGTCAGATAGTAGTTTAGCTACCAAATGTGCGTGTTTTTTGGTAGTCTCGCCTCTCATGAACCAATTACTCGCGGACAAGGACACCATACTGCCCCCCATCATAACCGTAGCTGGGGCGGCTCCACTAGAACCTTTCACCTTCATTTGAACTGTGATCGCTTTGCCCAAATAGCAAACCAGATGGTCGAGTAAAGTTACCCTGCAAATCAAAATTAGTACTTGGTACTTGTTGGTGATTTTATAAAAAGTTATTTCGATCATGTAAAATATCGTTGACATTAAACAAACCTGCTAATCGGATCGGAACCATAATTGACGGCCGCTAACATCTTCTGGGGCGGTAGCTCTATGACCAATCGACGTAAGAGCGATATTACCTGGAAATGTATTAAATAGAAAGAGTTTATTAATAGTCTGTCTTCCTGTTTCTAAAGTATAGCACTTTTACCATGGGAGTTAAATGTATATTTTTTGAAGTGAAACTTCTAATGCTACTTCTAACAAGGTTGCGTTAAACGCTTAACGCTACCGTGGAATAGAAAGAGACAGAGCGAGAGTGAATGCGCGGCACTCGAACGCATGCGCGTAGTATACTTGCTACAGGCCATCACGAGCGTTAGCAACGAGTAGCGTCCAATATTTTAATGAAGTATTTAAAACAAAATATGCTTATACATATTTATTTTTCTATCCATAATTTAAAATATACGAGTATACTCATATAACATAGATGTTGAAGATGTCACATATCGCTATTACAAGAGCATCAGATTTAAGGATGAAAAATAAAGAAAACCACAATACTACACATCGAAAAAGAAGTTTCACTTCATTCACGTGCACCAAGTTGACGCGGACCGTTTTTTATTTATTTTATTTTTATTGTCACCTGTCTTTGTACGCGTTCGCTACCAGTGTGAAGCAGAGATAACAAGTCAGATAGTAGTTCCGTGCGCTGAGCAAGATGTACTCGACCCACTGCACTGCCGCTGAGAGCTAATAGCTGAAATGCATACAAATAAAATTTCAATTAATTGAATTAAACATCACCATTCCCGTTTTAAATGAGGCTTACTGAAATACAGTCAACGATATTTTCTCATTTCATAAAGTACAAAGAACCACACGTTTTGAACAGAGAACCGTTTTTTCCTTATCTTAGAAGTCATTTCATTAACTAGTTAAAACTATATTTTCATTCCTTAGATCGATTTAAATAATTATAGCGACAACTTCTGATAGTCTTAGGATAAAATGTTTTTTTTTGGTTGTATAACTTCTTTACATTTATTTTTGAATTGACGTCCTTATATTTTATTGTCAAATTTAAAAATGTACCGAAAGGAAACAAAGTATTTTTCTTATCCCAACGCATTACTAAAAAATTACATACGAATTAGTTGAGCCGTTGTACAAATTAAGATGCACAGACAGGCTGTTCCTTTTTTTATTATACATGTTTATTATACGGAACAAGCTAACCAGTGAGAGCATTTCGAAACAGTAGTTGTCCTGCTGCGACCCCATGTGTTTGGCGGCTGGCGACTCCTCCCATTCACTATCCGTGGGTTCGACACAAAGCAGAGTTGTCTCCCAATCATCGCGCACGCGGGCAGTCTCACATCCGATCGCACTTACTATATGAGACATCACCTACAAATAAAACAATCAGAAGACAATTGTAAGTATTAGATTAGAGATATTAATTATTTAGCACGATTAAAGTGTCAATAAAATTTTGAAACAAAGCGAGGACAGTTTCAAATGATTTAGATCATATTATGTGTATACAATATTAATACATGTTTAATGTATCTTAAATTTTTAAACTCCAATGCGATGCAATATATAGATATTATGATGATGAGATAATAGCATCTATGTCTATCATCGGAGTAATTCGAGTTCCAATAGTAAAACCCAAAACCCGAACCAACAATAGGGGAAAGAGATTTGTTGGTTCTTAATCAATAAGTCCATAATTGTAAATACTATGGTAAAGGTTCTACTTATTCTAAGTACACATAGTGTAAGAGTTTATCAAGAAAAGTATTGAATATTTTCGATACCATGAAATACGTTAAGGTTTTTTAGATACGTACTTGTCGTTGCAGAGATGTAAGTTTGTGTCCAGCGAATAGGATGCCAACAACGTGCTCTCTGAGATCGCTGTCGTCGTTGGCAACTCCATCGTCGATTGCTACCGCGGCTTCAGCGCCCGCGTCGCTAGACTGCTCCCATTCCAAGAGCTTCCCGAACACCTGAGCGAGTAGTCGTTACGAGATATTTCGAATAGATATTTAAAAGTAACGTACAGATGACGTGAAAACAAAAAAAAACAGTGCGCGTGCAACTTAGTGCACGCGAATGAAGTGAAACTTATTTTTCGATATGTAGTATTGTATTTTTGTTCATTTTTCATCGTTAAATCATATTACTCTTGTAATAGGGAATACTGCGTATAAGAGATGCGACATTTTCCAACATTAATGTTATATATATTTTAAATTATAGATAGAAAAGTAAATACATATATTTTTTTTAATACTTCATTAAAATATTAGTCGCTACTCGTTGCTAACGCTCGCGCTGGCCTGTAACAGGTATACTACGCGCATGCGTTCGAGTGCGACGCATTTACTCTCGCTCTATCTCTTTCTATTCCATGGTAGCGTTAAACGTTTAACGCTACCTTGTTGGAAGTCACATTAGAAGTTTCACTTCAAAAAAACTCTACTTAATCGCTGGTATCCTCGAGGGGCTATTTCAGCTACGCATGCTTTTCGTAGGTAAGCTAACGAAATCAGCCTAAGAGAACTTGCTAACAATTACCTCAGAAAGAATAGTACTTCGCAGAATTTACCACCGGATCGGAATCGCGACCCACTAAAAAATCCAGCGAGAAACTCAGTGTATTGTGTCTATGGACTAGGTTGTTGCACGTCGAACGAAAACGATGACAATTTAAATACAGATTTGAATGCCCAAGTCTTACCTGAGAAGTCAACAAGCGGAAAACTCGCAGGGTGTCCGTTTCGCAGAGTCCGTGCAGCACTTGCGGCGCTGTCACGGCGGCTGAATGGAGGAGCGTCGGCGCGCTCAGGACCCGGACCTGGCGGATTCGAACCGCCGCTTCGGGACCGCGGAGCTCGCATCGAACGCGCAGCGACGTGGTAGACACACCTGTAGTTTCATTCAAATCAATCAAACTTGAAGAAGAGGACACCAGTCTGCGCCTCCGGGCACCACACCTCCACCGCAATCAAGTCGCACAATATTATGAATAACTGGCTGTACCCGTCCGCTTCGCTGAGCATTTAAAATTAACATTATTATTTCTCACCCCCACAAAGATTCTCATCATTAACGCCCCCGCAACTGGTGTAGGGAGTCCAACACTCATATAAATATTAGCCTATCCATTAAGTACATATGTTTTCTACATGAATACCAAGTTTCAAGTCAATTGGATGCATGGTTCAGCAGTTATAACGGAACATCCGTAAAAACCACTGTAGATGTATATATTAGTAAAGATTGTGTATATTTCAGTCGATGTGTATGAGTGAATGTGTGACCGGTGCACGCACCTCATAACACAACACCTTCCCCCAACCCACCTCCGCTTCATGTTACCATCACACAAAGGGATTCGCTCGTTCCGTGGCCCCGTAAGGAGTAACGACGACCCGGACAGTTCACTCAAACAGTCATTATGTTAAGTTCATAAATTCAATGTAAAACAACATAATTTAATCAAGATTTGTCGGTTTCGTAACTTACGTGGTAAAGTATAGCAGAGCCAAGTAGCGACCTTCGGATCGACTTCTATGTCTTGCATGTGGATCAACTCAGTGGATCCTGAGCTGTACAGGAACGTCATCAGCAGCGTCTTGTTCTGTTAATAGTTAATCATTAATTTAAAATAAGTAAATATGTAATTTATTAAGAAAAAAATTGATGTTAGTTTTTTTTTAAATTATGTATCACAAAATCAATTTTTTTTTTTTTCAAATTACTAAAAACTAGGCGGATTTTTCGCATCTTGTTTTAATATTGCGAACATCAACTATCCTACCTTTAGCTCTCAAAGTGTGAAATTCAAATAATGTTGTTCAAATTTTAAAACCATTTCGATACTAACCACAGTGTCCCTTGTGTTATCGATGTGGACGCACACAATGTGCGGGCGATCATCGTGCGAGCCTCCCGGGTAAGAGATTTGTATCCACTTTGCTTTGTTCCTGTCTTCGTCGCCTGATTCCCAGAACGTCTCCGTGCTGCCGTCGGTTAAGGCGCCGGCCATGCCTTGACGTGAAGATACCGTAATATCGCACCAGCCAGTCACGTCGGAAGAGCTCCATACATGATTCTCCTATAATACAGTATAATTTAAGTACCTATTATTAAAGTTTCGATTACCGAACCACACTTACACATGAAATGGACTAGCGTAGTGACCCAATCCAAATCTTTGCTCATAAAGCATAAGAAATATATAATCTGTATTATATTCAATACATATATTATTTTGGACGTTTTGACAGTTATATTTCTGCCGTGAAGCAGTAATGCGTTTCGGTTAGAAGAGTGGAGCAGCCGTTGTACTGGAAAATTTGAGACCTTAGAACTCATGTCTCAAGGTGGGGGCCCCTTTTACGTCGTAGATGACTATGGGCTCCAGTAACTTCTTAAACACCAGGTGGCCGTGAGCTCGTCCACCCATCAAAACAATAAAAAATATCTTGATTAACACTCGCAACACACACTCAAGGTGTTTTTCGTCGACATTTGAATATAAAGCTACATTTAGGTTTTGTTCCGCACTGAATGAACTAACTGTGTACCTTGAGGTCTAGCAGGTTTCATTGAGTTTTCATCTTCGCTATAAGAGGATCCCAGGTGTTCAATAAGAGCTAACCATCATTCAAAACCGAAGAAAGTACAAAGGTAATACGGTTACGAGCTTCTATGATGACGAGGAAGTAATAGTAGCTATTAATTAACACCCTGACGGACTATTACCGTGCCAGATCCTTTGGCTTTAGAATTGTTTGGACGCCGTAACTTACCAGATTCAAGATCACGGTAGAAGCTGTTTCTAATCGCGAAAGAAAACGCTCGAAGTGTTTTTCGTACACTATCACTAAAGTTACCTTTGTTGAGATGCATTGTACCTTCAAATAGCTATGGAAGCTGTCGTGTATGGCACAATGTGGGCCGTCGTCGTGGACGCCTTCCTCAGAACGAGATAATATCTTGCTGATTACACTGAACACTTGCGATCTTATCCATGCAGCATGAAAAATTCCATCTTATGTTGTTTAATATGAATACGAAATTATTAATGAATATATTAATATATTCTTTTTAATACTATATAAACTATTATATGTATGTATGTATGTATGTATATGTATTATGTCATTGTGTATATATATTTTGTGTATGTATCGGTAATTTAATATAAATTTCATTGCAACTACCACTATTTACTCTGCACTACCTTTGGTTGACTGGTAGAGAATGCCTTAGGCATTAAGTCCGCCAATGTAAATTCTACATGAAGTGTAATAAATAAATAAATAAATCGTAGGTGAAGCCGACATATCTTTCGGCTAGTTTACAAGAAAGCAATGTTGTAAAATTACGTTCAGAGTTTTTTTTTCTGTTGCTTATTTCATTTTACTATATCTGATGTTGTAGAATATTTGTCGATATTAATTTGCATTAACATAAGCTAATCTAAGGGTAAGCGGCGCTACCTACTGTCAGTAAGGTGTAACTGCTCCATAGAAATTGTCAATTGATTTTAGAAAAAAATTACATTACGACCTCAAATCATGTCACACCGAATCTTAAGAAATACTAAAGTAAGCGTAGCCAATTTTAAGATAATTTTGTTTTTTACTTGAATTTGTTTTTACAGATTTAGTCTTAATACGCAAATACTATTACAATTGTTATTATTTATTAAAACCGCATCGTATTTAGATATTAAATGCTATAGTAATTAGTTTTTTAAGATTGAGTTTAAGGCACAGTGGATACATCGTGGAAATGCTCTTCTGTCTCTCTCGCATACTAAAATTATGACGGTGGTGACGTCATCTGCTTCCTTTTTTCTATTGAACAATTATCCAGCCCACATATAATAGATTTCTAATTTCATCATTTCTGATTGGTTAAATACTATTTTAGTTGTTTTATATTTTACGATTGTGAGTAGTTTTAGGCAGGCGAAGGTAGTTAATCGCGTACAGCCAAGTCCCGAGTTGCACCTAAAATCTCTTTCCAAAAATTTCCGTATGTGAAAAAAAAAATATTGTCAATATACCTGTGCAAGAAAGCCCGATCGTGGCTGGAGTAGTGGAGCGCCCAGCATCGTATGGCCTGCAGACTCGCGGCGCTGGCGTGTGGTAGCGATGGTGCTAAAGTACTGACGGAGCCCAGGAAAGAGTGGAAAGCAGCTCGGGCGCCGCGGGCTGCTCGGCCGCCGGGGCAGATGGCGGACGTCGAAGCGGTTGGCGGGACCGTGCGTATCGGCTCAGCTACTGCATTCTGTAAATATACGAAATTTAAATGTCGTCTTTTCGCATTAAAAGTTGTACAATTTCAAAAAAAATCGAAATTGACTTAATATGCGGAATCATTTGGTATCACCAGTATTTTTCTAATAAATACTGTCAGAAGAGCGTAGTTTAGTTTTAATTTTTTTTTTAGTTTACCTGTATTTTGACTACTATTAACAAAATTAATACATAATTTTATCTTACTTTAAAAGACAGATAATGTAACTGGTAAAAAATAAAAAATAAACGTTGCAAAGATGACTACTATTAAAAAGATCACATGTTAAACCTTTAAAACACTCTCCTGTAAAATTAAACAGTTTTAAAGCGAGTAGACGATGTGTCAACAAAAATCGTATATTGAACTATTTATAAAAATACTAGCCGTACTCGCCCGCTTCGCTGGGCATTTAAAATTAACATTATTATTTATTGTCATTATTATTAATTAGGGAGTCCAACGCTCATATAAATATTAGCCTATCCATTAAGTACATGTATTTTCTAAATGGATACCAAGTTTCAAGTCAATCGGATGCACGGTTCTATAGTTATAACGGAACATCCGTAAAAACCACTGGAGATTTATATATTAGTATAGATTACATTTTCAATTTCTATTACTGTGCATTGAGTGCCACTAAAGCTGAAAAGCGTAGGCATTTTTTTTTCCTACCTATAACCTTGAGAGCCTAATACCGATACGGACGGGTCTAAGCGCACGCATGTATAACATTTTTAATAAATCAGTAACTTTTTTCGTATGAATTTAGCATTAATTGTTGTTTTTTTTTTAGTTATAGTTCTTTGTAATGTACTTTTATACACAAATCTTTTAGCAGTTTCTGCAAGATATGTGAAAATAAACTCAGCACTAAAAGGGTTAAACATTGTGTATTTATATACCTAACAGCAATCACTGTTAACGGTGTTAGTATTTTATCTTAAAAACATAAAGTTTCACCTCCTTATTATCTTCAACAATGTGCGGTGGTGGTACGATCCTGGCAAACTTCTCCAAAGCTGTACAGAACCACCACATAACATCGTGGGCGCAGATTGGCTGTGTCGCTGAACGAAGCAGCCAATTGAGGGCCTACAATAGACAAAAAATCGTAATTTTTTTCTTTCTTTAAATTGTCACCGAAAGCAATAATTATAATACATCATCATTATCCGGCCCTTCTCCCAGTCACCTGGGGTCAGCGCAACATGTTTTCTCCTTCCATCATTTTCTATCATATACCATTTCTTCGCTCACTCCCCTCTTACCCATATCGTCTTTCCCGCAATCCATCCATTTCTTCTTAGGTCTACCTCTTCCTCTATATCCTTCCACATTCATAGTTAACATTTTCTTACCAACCTCATTTTCATTTCGTCTCATCACATGTCCATACCATCCCAAACGCGCACTTCTCAGCTTCTCTGTCACAGGTGCCACTTTCAGACTTCCTGTAACATATTCATTCCGTATTATATCCGTTCTCGTTACTCCACACATCTATCGCAACATTCGCATCTCTGCTGCATGCAATCGCCTATAATACCAATTTAAAATGCTATTTGCTATAAAAAGCCCACCTCAAACGCGTATTGTCTGACAATGTTAATCCTGACGGCCGCGTCCATTTTCTCTCTGTGAGCGGCCAAATCGCGTTTTGCGAGCACGAAGCTCAGCACCGGCCTTTTCATTATAATGTTGGAGTCTATTCGAGGGGCTTCAAATGCGGACAAAGGACAGTCCGTGGCACTCCAATCGCCGCAGCTGAGTAGACCCTTCAGCGCCTTGCTCGGTTGCGAGAGCAGTGACAATCCACTACCTGTTTGGTCGTTAGGAATCTATGATATTCAACTTTACTTAGTCTATGTTAAGCTTATCGATGTAGAACTAGGAAAATATAGACAGTTGCAGAGTGTATTGTAAGTCAGCATACGGAGGTAACGCTGCCATATCTATTTTTTACAACTAAACAGATTCCACCACTATTGAAAGTTTGCGATTCCAATATATGTATGTGCAAAGCATTTGATTTTTATTAATACATTAAAAAATAATTTTAGGCAAAAACGAAAAACACGAAAGTATGAAATATGCTAAAATTTTATTAGTAAAAAACAGTTTTCAGTAAGAACAAATAATTAAAAATAAGTGTTCGTGTAATCGATTTAACGTGAACTTAATAAAAAAAATACTTTATATATATATATTTAGATCATTAAAATTAAAATTTAATTTCTCATTAGCAATTCTGACGGCGGCAAATATATTGTGCTATCTATATGGGCTCTGGAACTGCTAGACACTGTAATAGATAGGTCGTGGACGCCTTCAACTTTAACACTAGGAGCCTGCTTAGGGACCCCAGTAACCGTACAACCTAACTCATGCATCAGCCCGCTGAGTTTCTCATCGGATTTTCTTAGCGGGTCGCGATTCTGATCCGGTAGTAGATTCATTCGCGAAGCAGATGCCCTTGAGTTGTTAAGTCTCCTTTGGAGGCGCTCGGGCAGCTGTTAGCAAATTCCACCCCTCCTGGCTGAGCCTTTTCTCGCCCACCTGCCCTGGTGAAACTGTAAAAGCCTCGGGCAACCAGTAATCACTCAAAATTAAAAAGAAAGAAGATAGTTCGTGAGTTCCTCAAGAAAAGTTGATATTTAACAGCGTACCGGTGGCGGTGTCATGCGAATCGCTACGCAACTTGCGGGTGAGCAGAGGTCGTGCGGCCGCCGCGAGGTCTCCTCCGGCTTGTCCCATAGACACAGAACGGTGTACACGGGGCTGGAAACCAAGGCTGGCCTCCGGAGCGGCGAAATTCGACACCTACAAACGGAAGGCATTTTAATAAAATGCCTAATGTCAGAAACGAAAACGTCGTTCATGAGAAAGTAATAGCCAATTTAACTTAATAATAGCTAAGTGTTTTTAAATTGTCGTATGAAGTGATAATTTTTAATGCCAAGCAGAGCACACTCTTATATCATCAACTAGCGACCCGCCCTCGCTTCGCTTCGGAAACTGTAATTTATTATTGATTTTTCCACTATTTAATGGATGTTATTATACATATAAGCCTTCCTCTTCAATCAGTCTATTAAAAAAAACCGCATCAAAATCCGTTGCGTAGTTTTAATAATTTAAGCATACATAGGGACAGACAGATTTAGGGACAGAAAAAGCGACTTTGTTTTATACGATGTAGTGATGCTAAATACATTGTGATTAACAATGCGGCGTCTATGTGCTTAGTGCAAGTTATTCAACGTTCTCGATAGAGTAAAAGGTAATTCAAATTTATATATGGAGTTAGAACGATTGCTTTCGTTTGCCGCTAGGTGCGCTGTCCCAACTGCATATAAATTTAAGATAGCTTGTACGCTATCGAGAATGTTAAAAAACTCGCACTAAGCATACAGTCTTAAATTTCCACCGAAATTACAAGCGCTTATGTACATGATATGTCAAAACTTTGCTAGTCGATTAAAACTACTTTTGCATAATGCAATGCATAAACAATAAAATACTTCATTGTGTTTTCTGTGATATAATAAGAAAACAACATTTAAAGCACTGTATCTCTTTTAAAATTAATATTTTAAAAAGTATTATTATACTAAACAAAACTGAATTCTATCTTCACTGAATTACAGACAGGTCAGTGATTCCGTCTAAGAAAAATCTGTTTTAAAAGTAAAGAGTTTTGGAATTTTTATGTCATGTTATCATGTTAATTGAAAATTTATTTGTATGTGTGTTATGGAATAAATAAATGCAATTATTATTATTAAGTGTATTAAACACTGCCTCGCCTGGGAAGACGGCAGGACACACTCTGGCGAGGTGGGCAACAATCGGCCGGAGCGTTAGGGACTATTGAGAGAGAACCCGGCGAACTATACGGGCATTGTCGAGCAAGACTGCTTTTTGCATTTGGGCCACCACCTACTTTTTGCTGAGACCAGGCCTCTTGAGATGTTTTGAGAGGCTTTATATAATTATTATTAGTTTTAAAGGTTTGAAACGATAAAGGTTTTTCTTTATATGTGTATTGATACTTACTGTAGGAGCGATGGCAGGAGGTTGCGGACGTCCTAGCGAGTGATACTTGGCGGCGTCGTTGTTGTCGTTCTCTTTAGGCTCAGCGCCGAGTGCTTGTAGGCATTGGAAGGGAGGCGCCGGTTGCCAAACGCTCCCCGGCGAAGTCGGGGGGCTTCGACTCAAGTTCTCGCTCCATGGAGACACGCTTAGAGGTTCTGTGTCGTAAAACTCCAATATATTAATTAACCAGAAACTACCTTCTTATGACACTATTAAACAAGACGGGTATAGAAACCGAGCATGTGTGAGCTACTCCTTCTTTCGCTACCCTACTTTATATGTATCAGAATACCAATTGAGTCCTTTTTGGCGGGAACGCGAGTAGTGAAGTTGTGTGATTTTTTTACTTTATCTATTTAATTTCTTCAGGCTGCCATTTGTGAAAGTGCACAAAAGTGGGGAAATGAAACAAAGCCGCTGGACGTAACTTCTCGGAATCCTCCAAAAAGTCCATTAATAAAATCTCAGTATATGACCACCATTTTACTGATATTATATTTCGTCCCATATCATCTCATCTTATTTCATTTAATTTCATCCCAGTCGATCTCAAATGAATCATCTTCATTTCATTTCGTTTCACTGCATATTATCATTTTACATAAAAATAAGAATATAAATTAAAATAAGATATGACTTAAAGGTCTTAGTTACCAGGTCATAACATCCCTTTAAAAAAAAACCAATTGAGTTGGCTACCATAGAGTGTAGTCATACTAGATTCACCGAACGACTATAAGTAAGCTTACGGGGCTCTAACTTGACGTACAATGATTCAAATTTGACCTTTTGTTCTATTTTGAAATCTAAGAGTCGTATTTTAATGCGATTTCAGTAAGGCTAATGACGTCATTCACATTTGACAAGACTTGAAGGGTGATTGTACTTAAGAGTATTTTAGTATGAACCCACCTGAATCAGTGAGTGGAGCCAAATCGAGGAGGAACAGAGCGTTCTCTTTCATCACATTGTGATCAATTCCGGGAATCATGTCTAGTCGTTCGGTCGACATGTTCATTGCCGACTTCGACTTGGCTTTCAGAGTTTTCTCTCTGCACCTCTCGCAATAGATGTACCATAGTTCGTATGCTGATGGAAAAAATTCAATTTTACATTTATTGAATAGTAGTAGCGAAGTAGGTATTATGAGAATAGTAAAAATCTCAACCGCTAATCTCTCACTTACCATCAAACGTACAAGGTAAATATATCGAATGCATGCAACCAAAATAAAGCAGAAAATGATCTTCATTGCTACCAAATAATTAACCTCGTTCGTTTCAGAGTGGGTTTCCGGACATAATTTTTGCCATGCACCATTTGGCTTTGGAGTTTTGACTAACTTACGTCAGATCATACTTCTCGACATTAAAGCATGAAAATAAGTAATAATAAAACTTTTGCTGGTGGTAGGACCACTTGTGAGTCCGCGCGGGTGGGTACCACCACCCTGCCTATTTCTGCCTTGAAGCAGTAATGCGTTTCGGTTTGAAGGGTGGGGCAGCCGTTGTAACTATACTGAGACCTTAGAACTTATATCTCAAGGTGGGTGGCGCATTTACGCTGTGGATGTCTATGGGCTCCAGTAACCACTTAACACCAAGTGGGCTGTGAGCTCGTCCACCCATCTAAGCAATAAAAAAAGATGAAAAGGGTGACGTCTGACCTTGGGCGAGTTGTCCACACGCCGTGACCGGGGTGTCGGCGGTGGCGGCCTGCGGCTCGGCCTCCCTGTAGGTGCCAGCGCGGTCGTATCCATGCAGCGTGACGGCTCGGCAGCCCGGGTGGGCGTGGCGCATATGCGCGGCCAGCGGCGGCGGCACGTTCGAGCCCCCGCACAGCTCGCACTGTACTACGTACGGGGTCTTGGTCGTCTGGCGTCGCGCCAGATCCCGTTTGATCCTTAACAAAAGCGGTCGCAATTCCTCTGATTCGGTCTTATCTTGTGGTACTCCCCTCTTGTTCCTTGAATTTTTAATTTTATGACTATACTATCTGTACCCGTCCGCTTGGCAGGGCATTTAAAATTAACATTATTATTTCTCACCCCCACAAAGATTCTCATCATTAACGCTCCCATAACTGGTGTAGGTAGTCCAACACTCATATAAATATTAGCCTATCCATTAAGTACAAGTATTTTCTACCAAGTTTCAAGTCAATCGGATGCATGGTTGAATAGTTATAACGGAGCATCCGTAAAAACCACTGTAGATTTATATATTAAGTATAGGTATGTTATTTAGTGATATAATTTTTTTTAAGCTGAGCAGTGTTTTTAAATATACCCCTATTACTAACGTTTGGAAAGTTACACTGATGGTAGAGGGTCATGTGAGCCAACACGGATAGGTCCTACCACCGTACCTACTTCCGCCGTGAAGCAGTAACGCGTTTCGGTTTGAAGGTTTGGGCACAAGTTGTATTGTAAAAATTGAGACTTAGAACCAATGCCATTGACTCGATCCAAATAAAAATAGCTGTAACTTACTTCTCGGTGGTGGCAGACAGTTGATCTGCATCGTAGAGAGCGTCCCACAGAGCCACCAGAGCGCGCAATGCGGGAGGCAAGACGTTCACTACAGCCGGAGGGGGAACTGGATCTAAGATAAAATGACATCAATAAAAATTAAAGCTTAACATTAAATTCACATATTAATACGCAAGTTCAGGATATCTCTAAGAAAAACGGTCTTAATTTTAGATCTCACCTGCCCAAATAAAGTCACCTTTATTAAGTAAATTTTTAATAAAGTTTTTTACTGGCAGTAGGACCTCTTGTGGGTCCGCGCGGATAGGTACCACCGCCCCGCCTATTTCTGCCGTGAAGCAGTAATGCGTTTCGGTTTGAAGAATGGGGCAGCCGTTGTAACTATACTGAGACTGAGAAGGATTAGAACTTATATCTCAATGTGTGTGACTCACTTACGTTGTAGATGTCTATGGGCTCCAGTAACCACTTAACACCAGGTGGACTGTGAGCTCGGCCACAAATCAAAGATATAAAAAAACCCAAGAACTAATACTTACTTGTAAGAATAGCGGTGTAACTCAAAAGTTTCTTATGGTCGAGGTTTTGAGCAATTGTTTTCTGTCTCTCAATATTAATAAAACGAATCTGAAGTTTTACTTGACAAAGAACGCAATTAAATAAAATAGGTATATTGAAGAAATAGCTTAAATCGACTGATTTAATTCTTTGGGAATTGAAACGAGGTATTCTAGCCCTACCGTCTCACCCCTCAAAGCGCGTTTTGGTTCAGAACTTGTATAATCCACAATGACGCTGACGTCACTATTCAATAACGAGATATCCCGCATAAAATTTCAACAACTGCTTAAATTCTTTTGAGTTATTAATATATTTTTAATTGTACATATTTATCTATTTATAAATAAATAATTTAACTTACCCGTTGAAGTGCTGCATTGCGGTTGCATATAATCTTCATTCATTTGGACGTCCACATCAGCTTTTCGGGCTCGACTCTCGCTAGCTTCGATTCCGGAGCGAGTTAATGTCTCCAAAGTCGAGGGATTGATGTTGAGGTACTGCCCTATTATGAAAACAAATTCAATATTGAATGTATCATATATTTGAAGGAAACAAAACCGATTTTTTTTTTTAATTAATTCGTAATAACCATATACAAAAGTAAAATTGAAAAAGCGCTCTGTGACCTGGTAATTCGGACAGCAAGAACCACTATATTGCATATCTATATTGTGATCTTTGACACTATATTATAATGATATACATTGTTAGTTAACAAATAGTAGAAAATAGAAGAAAAGCTTGGTTTCTTAGCTGTTTTTTTTTTTATTATTATTATTGAAGGATTATTGGTGGTCCTAAGGCCTTTCCAGTTTCACCAGGACAGATGGGCGAGCAAAGGCTCAACCAGGAGGGGTCGGATTTGCTAACAGCTGCCCGAGCGCCTGCGAAGGAGACCTAACAGCTCAAGAGCAGCTGCTTCGCGAATGAATCTACTACCAGATCGGAATCGCGACCCGCTGACAAGATCTGGCGAGAAACTCAGCAAGGCGATGCATAGATTAGATTGCACGATAAACCCTTTGCCGAGTTCGACGATTATGGTTTCCGGGGTCCCTAAGCCGGCTCCTAGTATTAGAGCTGAAGATGTCTAATACAACGGTTACTTAGCCGTATCCCTGGCAGTGTGATGTATGGTACATATGCGATAGTGCCCAGCAATGCCGTGGATAGGATAACCAAGTGCTTTTATATGCGATTTCAAAAAACTAAACAAGTCATAGCATGATTGATCTGTCACGAAATAGTATTGAGTGAAAATATGAAGTATTTTTATGAGGCAATTTCCCAACTGCGGCCTATGCATAAATACTGAAGAAAGTAATCTATTATTTCAACAGAATCGAATGCTTACCTGCGTTGGAGACTTCAACGGAGTGCCTCTGGTTACGAGCCAGACTGAAATCGTGAGAGGATCGCGTCACCACACGTGTCCCTTGCTTCGGCAGCTGCGGGTGGAACTTTAAAAATGCCGCGCATGCTATTGCGTCATGTACGATACCTGAAAATACCCAAATAAATCAAAATAAGAAGAATAGTTTAGCGATGGATGGATTCTTGGTGTTGCCGAGAGAGGAATTCAAAAATATAAGCGGCCTTACGACTCTGGTGTTAATTTAAGAGCCCGCTATCAATTTGCAACTAACGCCCCTCATTACTGGACCAAGGGTCGTCGGTACGAAAACATTCGTGTGACGAACAGAATGGTTATACGTATATACTCGTATATACACATATGAGTCTCACGTTCCCCTTGCACAGAATAGGCTACATTAGAGGATGATTGTGTATCATTTGTCCCAGAAAATATTCGACTAAAAAGTTGGCGTTGCAAACGGTACTTGTAATAGTCGCATGCGAACAGAATACCAATTCTGAATCGTCAGTAATTCATTCCCTATCGATCACCGTTTTATCGAGATTGAACCGATGATTCTCAGTTACAAGACCGAGACGAGCTTTAGAGGTCCCTTGCAGCTACACAAAGCAAGTGCATGCGTTAGTTAACAAATTTATTAGGTATCCAAATAATAGGTAACCAAAACAAACCCACCTTCGTGCCATAAAAGTGCTGCGAAAATACATCGAAGAGTTTCGGCCTGCGCCGGGCTGAGTGCGTGCTTCTTCGGCGGTGGGGGGGCGGGCACGGAGCGCGACGGCGGCGGGGGCGGGGGGCTGGCGCGTCGATACGGACGAGACCGTGCCGGTGTTCGCTCGCGAGGCACCGGCATTGGACTGACACGACCATCCTAAATACATTATTAAAGGCTTCGTTAAACAAAACGCGTACTTAGCGCTGCGTTTTAACGTCGCACTCTTTTCATGTCACATAAATATTATAAATGAGCCTAAACCGTCAAACAGAGCCCCAGCGCTATAAGTACGCAATGCTCTGTCGCGGCGTTAGGACGCTTTGACGTCAGGCGTTGTAATTTTTTACAAATTTCATTTTAGCGTACGAGTTAATGTGTTTTAAAATTCTGAATAATGCCCAAAAAATTGGTAGAATTAGTTAGAAAATACTCATGCTTATACAATGCCACATCTGAATCACTCGAAATCTTAATACTTTTAAAGTTTCACACTGCTATAGAAAGGCACTATGATTTGGCGAATGCGTTGCGTCAAGGAGCGTTGGACCCATCTAGTCAATTTGTGTGACATGAAAAGAGCGCGACGTTAAAACGCAGTGCTAAGTACGCGTTATAGCGTCGCGTTTTAACGTAAAAGTATTAAGATGTCGAGTGATTCAGATGTGGCATTGTATAAGCATGGGTATTTTCTTCCTAATTCTATCAATTTTTCGGGCTTTATCCAGTATTTTAATACATATTCACTCGGATTCACATGTGTGATAGTTCATACAAAATGTACGTCAAGCACGAAAATCTATCTAGTTCCTAATGTAAATGTATCGAGTCCTCGATACGAAAACGGAGTATTATATTAGATGGTAGAACTAGATAGCCAGCCTTCGAGATTTACGTTACTTCGTGATGCTGAAACTAATTATTTTTACGGACGGTAGGGGCGCTGTTTAAATCCTATACATTTTTTCTCGATAGCGATCCGAATACGCTTTCGATGGTCATTCGCGCTCACCCCTTAGGAGTCTCCCCAAAATACATGAAAATGAGACTACGAATTTTGTAATCGATCTCCTTCTCACCTTCGGTCCGGTCGCGAACAAATGCACTGGAACCAGCATATCGTCAACGCTCTCCGGTGAAGTCTGTGTGCCGGCTTGTGCCATGCGACTGCCGCAGCGCTTGTCTTGCTCAGAGTCATCGCCATCCGGTTCGATGTCCGTCTAAAATTATATAATACTAGCTGTACCCGTCCGCTTCGCTGGGCATTTAAAATTAACATTATTATTTCTCACCCCCACGAAGATTCTCATCATTAACGCCCCCGCAACTGGTGTAGGGAGTCCAACACTCATATAAGTATTAGCCTATCCATTAAGTACATGTATTTTCTACACGGATACCAAGTTCAAACTTAATCGGATGCATGGTTCAGTAGTTATAACGGAACATCCGTAAAAACCACTGTAGATTTATATATTACTATAGATGAGTCGTCTATTATCAAGGTGGCAATCTGTGCATTTGGACAAAAAAAAATTATTGATATGTCAATACAGATTTATTTGAATATAATCGTCTCCTTCAAAGAATACGGTTCAAAACCTGCATTAAATAAAGGTTAATAGTTAACCTTTTATTTATCTAAGATGTCGTTCCGAAGAGTTTTGTGACTGCCAATGGAATACAAAGTCAATAATTCGTTTTTCTGATTTACCAATCATTGTCCAAAAGTCAGATTGCCGCCTTTGATAATAGTCGACTCAGATATCACCCGGTCTTATTTCACTATAGACCCTATTGACTCACTCAATAAACATTCATATGAGAACGCTTTCCATTGGTCGTTATTAAGTTCGATTTAAATTTCAAATCTCCAACTTCCGACGTCGTAGCAAAGGACACTGGTTTTTATTTATATACCTAATTAACGTCAATTGTATTATTCGGCTTTCGTGAATCGTAAACTATTATGTTATGTTATGACTACCTTTACGGCTAAATATCCCATTTATGGAACTACCGTCTAATTGTGGATAGATAATAAAGGTAAAAACGTCGAAGAATTACGCGTCGGTCCCGAAAATTGCAAATAATTATCCAAATGCCAGTACAATAAGATTATAAATTAAATTTATTAACAGAACAATTAACAATGTCTAAGCACAAGTTTCATCTAAATGGGTCTAGTTTTTCTTTGATTTTGAACGGTCAAACATTTTTTAGAGTTCATCCATACCACCTGGAGCCACTGCGTTCATCCACAGTGCGTTTCCAGAGATCTTTTTTGCCACGTACCATCCGGCTTTGGAATGAGCTCCCCTCCACGGTGTTTCCCGAGCCCTATGACATTTCCTTCTTCAAACGAGGCTTATGGAGAGTTCTTAAAAGTAGGAAGCGAATTGGCTCTGCCCCTTACATTGATGAAGTCCATGGGTGACGGTAACTACTCACCATCAGGTGAGCCGCATGCTCGTCTACCTACAAGGGCAATAAAAATAAATAAATAATAATAATAGTTTAGTCAAACGCGAAATTAAAACATAACAATTGTTTTAATTATTATATGTAATGTCACGTTTTCATCCATACATAGATTCAGGGGGATGTTTACAGTATTATGTTCAAATGTGCCGTTGAATTTGTCCATGTGTTACAATGAAAATTTCTTTAGTAGGGCAAATTTTAGTAGGGCATTCGTAATTTACCTCGAGTATGGTATCAACATCTCTGAAGTTGTCGCTCGACCTCTTACTGGGGGGCCACCAGTCGTCATTATTTCCATTGCTGCGACGCTGAATACTGTTATTCAAACAATAAACATTTAGCCTCCATGGAAACTGTGCAATTGAATTCAAGCACTTTGAGCTCATCTCTCGAGATGATCGACAGCATTCACGTTGTTGATATCCATGGCAACCACTAAACGCTAAGTCGACTTTGAACACTTTCATCCGTCTATGTAGAATAAAAAAATAATTAAATTCAATCCTAAAGGACTTAGAATACCGAGTACTGGTTAGTGCATTCATTACTATAATATATACCAGCTGTTTATTATAAGAGTTAATTACTTATATTCAGTTGAATAAAAAAATAATTGAAAAAGTATGTATGTTAAAAATAAAAGATTCCGATTTCAAGGCTGTATGTTCTGTTTCATGAAATCATACATAATATATTAAAAGAATAAAAATATCTCAAATTTCTGAAATTTAGATATGACCGAATTACCAACTCTCTAGTACTCTAGTTTAGATGTGAGTGGGATAATGATACCTTACTTTATTTAGTTTTCATTTCGCCGTACCTCCAGTGGTCACATAAATTAATTAATTTGGGGAATTCAATTTTTATTCCACGATGAACGTCATTGGTGAACGAGTGTTTTTTTTTTTTTTGGAAAAAAAATTGTATTTGTCTGCGGGATTTGAACACTGGCACTGTCACTCGGTGTGATAACATCGGCTATCTTATGCTATAGGCCACGGGGATAACTTTGTTGTTATTGATTGGCTGTGCCGCGAAACATCATGCTTCCGTACTACTATACTATTCTATGCTATATATAATATTATGATATAGTATCCCTATATTATCTGCGTTTAACACATTTTTTTGTGCATAGGTATACAGGTATACGGCAATACCCTTCCTAATAATGATATTTAAGTCTACATCGATTTTCGTTCCTCGTGCACAAATACAATAATATTATTATCTTACGCCGATGACGGTGAGGAACAGAGATCTTCGCGACTTTGATTTCTCTTACAAAGCTCCATGGCCTGTGCGATGGCACTTGACCCGCTGTCACTCTGCAATATAAGATATGTTAATTCATCTCACCACCTCAAGCCCACCAATAATATAACGGCAATCACTGACCACAAAAAGATTAATTTTAATACAATTAAAATCAATGCATCGAGCGCAATAAAGAAGCCATTACTAAATATTTCATACTTACATCGTCGTTTAGTTCAGTTAGAGGGAGTCTGTGATCGATCCCGCTGGGGCCATCTAGGGAGACACATATATTTGTATTTTAATCATAATTCATGCGAAAAACTTGACAAACATGTTCGACTCTCAATGACTTTTCTTATGAGCTTACCATCGCTGCCGGTAACGGCACGGTATAAGTTTTTCCTGCGGCCATACTCATTTTAGTGCTGAAGTGTCAACTACAAAACAAATAGGCGTGGCAGACAACTGTTTAAATATAAATGACAATATTGATAGGTAAACAGTGGGAAAGACGAAGTCTCAGTCTTATTAGCATAATCACTATCTTATTATTCTAATTATTACTCTCACCAATACATCACTAAGATACAAAATGTTTCAACTAGAATACAGAAACTAAAATGATAATGGACAGGACATACAATAAGAGGCATCGAAAAATGGAACAAATACATACTTTTTTGAGATAGAAAAAGGAAACGAGGCAGATCGATTCGAAGGTGGGCAGACGAGATAAAGACGATAGCAGGAAAACTATAGACAAGGAAAGCTCTAAACCAAGTAGAGTGGAAACAAACGGAAGAGGCCTTTGCCAAAGTTGGACAAACAGAAGAAGTTGTAGATGTCCTTGACTCAGCAGAGTCGTTAAGTTTATTAATTGTAAATATATTTTTTGCGTCTGAAGAAAGGCTTTCATTATTTTTATTATTATTTATTATTCAAATCGGAACTGATGAGTACTTTGCAGAAAAACATGAAAAACCCCACGGGCACACATAATACGCTATTTAGTCCTGCCACTAAAAATTGACGCAATAAGCGTTATTCCTTCCTACGACTTACACGCATTAATGTTCTAAGTCTCAATCCGATCCCAATATTAACCAATTATTAATTTACTCTCAGAAAAGCTTACCGACTACTTGAGCGTTAGTGGTAACGTATAGTATCAGAGGCAGTCAGGACATGTGACCTCAATTTTTTATTTTTTGTTATTACTAACTCCTCAAGATACTTTAACAACTTTATCAACTTCCGTAATCTTTCCTGGGATCATACTGGTATGATTGGCAGTGGGAAGGCGAAGGGCCATAACGCTGCGAGTCAAATTAAACTACAACACTGTTGAGGTTCAATAATATCACATCCTCACTTAGCGAGTTAAGAACGAAGCAGACGATAGTTATTGATCGCGCGCGGGAGTAGTAATAGTATGCGTAGTGAATTATTGGGAATGCACCACCTTTGGAGTTTGTTAGTTACTAATTACTGCGAGTTTCCAAAGCGTGGTTCTAAGTTCCGGTCGATTACGCTTCACCGCTAGCTGCGTAGATGGTGGCACATTATGTAATGGATGTGCTTACAAAAAACTATGTGAGCTTTGTCACCCCCCCGCCAGCCGCGTGCTACCAGCGCCGACGCCCGCACCACAGTCACTGGCAGGGTCTACAGGTCAGTGCTAGTTCCTTTAATTTATGGCCATTTTATTGCTTCTACCGTGTGATCATTCGCCCGCCCGCTCGCTAATATGTATTTAGTTTAGTTACTAGCTTTTTGTTTACCGCGTTTTACCGCTCCGCCAATTATAAGTGTCGAACATTTGTCACATACCGCTTAGGACGGCTATTTACGTGCCTTTCTACCCCCGCTTTATATGCTCCCACCGCAGGAGGGCTATTTACACGCCCTCTTGCCACCCCAGCTATTGAAATTTTAATTGGCTTCGAGTACCTGCTGCAGCCCCCTCGCAGTCTTCATCCTGACTCCACGAGAGCGTTTCGTCTCTCATCTCACCTGCGCCCCTCCAGCCACCTTCCTCTTCTTCCTGTTCCCACACAAAAACGCAAAACCTTTACATAAACGTCTCATTGGGAATCCAACAAAAGTAAGTTTATTTAAAGAGAGAGAACATGTACATTGTTACATGTTTTTTAATACGTTCTATTGTTTCGCACGAACAATTTTAACCATTAAAATTCCTTTTATTTTTGTTTTGTTTGAAAATAGCTCTTATCTACAGATGAAAAATTTATAACCGGTATGGGACTACTAGGCTCAACTGGCTCCAGCAAAATTCGGTCGAGATGTCTGTTGTGCTGGAGACACCAGGCCACGCCCGAACTTTCCTCGGCATATAGATTCGCGCAATCCAAACTCAAACGTACCCACGTTCCATCTTTGTTCACAACCTAAAAACAAATAAGTAATTTATTATAATGAATTTCGTATCCGATCAGAGCGAACCATTCCCAAAAACCAAGACACGTGGCGGTGGTGGTCAAATATTGAACGGAAATCAAGGAGTCGTGTGGCGTGCAGAGAGCCGTCGTCCGCCAGCTTTCGAATTCGCGGGTAAGTAATTCACTAATTTAAAATTTAATTGACTGTATTAATATTTAAAATATAATATTTATTTTAGAGTGCCATGGATCACCAGAAATGTCTACGTTTTCTGGCACAGTTACACTCTGACAAGGGTCATGGCGCTAAGCTATGGCAGTTTGCATTGGAGCAATACTACCAGGTAGGTTTTCATTTTCGCAAGAGGGCAATTCGAGCTATCTACAACTTTTTTTTCTTATCCTAAAATCCGTGATAATCTGATCAAGTTCAATTGAATTAAAATCATAATAAGTGGATCGTAAAATCGTAATAATATATTATTGTTTTTAACACAAATATGTGATTTCCACGATTTTATTATACGATGCTACTCCTTCATCGTGAGAGATGCTTGCGAGCATATTATTATATGTACATAATATGTATATACCATCATCTCACATCTATCATCTGTTCTGAATTAGAGTTCATCTCTAGTATCTGGAACATCTACATTTCTATAGTACAGCTCACAAGATTACGATACGATTTTTTCCTGTACTATGCGGCTTAAGTTTGAGCCGCGGAGAACTACCCTCGATAGCGTTTCGAATACTATGACATTCCCTTCTTTAAACAAAATCTTACATCTTTAAACAATATCCTGAGCAAAACAGCCAATGGATTGTTTGTGCTCCTGGTATTGCTGTATTTTTTTTTTGTGATTGATGGATTGTGGCCCTGAAGCCTTTCCAGTTTTACCAGAACAGGTAAGCGAGCAAAGGCTCAGCCAGGAGGGGTGGGATTTGCTAACAGCTGCCCGAGCGCCTCCGAAGGGGACCTAACAACTCAAGAGGAGCTGCTTCGCGAATGAATCTACCACCGGATCGGAATCGCGACCCGCTCAAAAGATCCGGCGAGAAACTCAACGGGCTGATGCATGGGTTAGGTTGCCGTTTGTTGCATTGGGTTAGGTTACCGAGGTCCCTAAGCCTGTGTTAGAGCTGAAGGCATCTAATGCAAGAGTTACTGGATCTGGTGGATCCAGTTACTCTTGCGTTTCTGTTTGCGGATCGATTCGAGTCCCAGGTCGTCGTGTAGGTCGACGTTCCTCATGAACCACGGAGCTCTGACGGCTAGCCTACAAAAGCGGGATTGTAGAGATTGGAGGGTGTCTATCTGTATGCGGGCCGCATGAGCGAACACCACTCTCGCGTAAGTCATGACGGGCCTTATGCAAGTTTTGTAAAGTGTCACCTTGTTCCGAAGGGACTTTTCACTCCGGTTACATATCATGGGCAATCGCTGATGTTCTCGAGTGAAGATGACCACTAAGGATAATGAGGGAGTTAGCTTATTAATCCGATTTCATCGCTAACATAAAAAGTGATATTATTTAGAAAAGTTTATTGCTACCCTAATATCGAACCACAGCGTTGTCGCATGACCACGAATACCTACACCAAAGTGTTTTAAATATTAAGACAATAAAGCTTCAAATTTTTTCACATCAGCCATCCGAATTATAAAAAACAGCTCTATCAAACACAACCCTTAACGCGATTCACTATTTCAACGTAATTCCGCGAACACTCACGTACTACCTCTGCTCTCACGTACTCTCTCTCCTTCTACTACTCACGTACCTACCTGGTTCATATATTTTAAAACTGTAACGAAACGATCGCGCAACAAAGCTTATAATATCATTTATGATTAGACGTAATAATTTCATGACACAACGTGGGAATGAAACGTTCGCTCTAAGCTATCACTTTTATTTGTAGCATTTAAAAAATGATAATAAGTTTATAAAAATAATAATAAAGATATTTAAGAATTTTTAAAAACAAGCCCACACTCTTATAGAATTTTTAAAAAAACAAGCCCACACTCTCAAATAATTTAAAAAGAACAAGCCCAAACTCTTAATGAATTTTAAAAAACAAGCCCACACTCTAATTATAATCAGTACGTACCCTTAGTATGGAGATAACATCTAAAACTTAAAATTAACTTAACTAAATGTGTACTACTTACTTAACTATTCGAACGCTAGATGGCATTACACTATACCAAACTCTAGAATATTACAATTTTAAAAGTTATTAATTAACTGCAAAGCAATGCAAATGTATAAATAAAACAAAAAACTTACGATATCATTCATAATGAAAGGCGAATGTATCGATATTATTAAGCTATATTAGTTAAAAAGTCATTTACGCCTATCAAGCGTTCGATAAAATAATTAACAATAATCTTATTCATAACGAGTTATCGAAGTTATATAAGCATATATAAGGAGACCCTAAGGTTTTTCAGTATTACATTATTTATATTTACTATCGAACATTCGATGGACTTAAATGGTATTTATTAAAAAAAAAAGTATTTGGTCTTCCTATAACTTGCTCATAAAAACCCAATAACTCATTATGAATAAGGCCGTTACTTATTACGTTTTTATTTAAATTACACATTAAAATCAAATAAGAATTTGTTACATGCTGTTGACGATCACAACGCGTGCACATCACACACGATCAGCAATTATAATATTGAAAAATTCTATTTGAGAAAATTATCATGTACCATTTCAGCGTAAACAATAAAACAAAGACAAGAACAGTGTGCTTAGTGGGAGTTTTTTAAAGTTCTCGATAGCGTAAAAGTTAGCTCGAATTTGTATGGAGTTGAAACGATTGCCTACGTTTGCCGCTAGGGGCGCTGTTCCGATAGCATACTTTGAGATAACTTTTACGTTATCGAGAACGTTAAAAAACTCGCAGTAAACACACAGAACTGTTTTCTGTGCATAGTGAATAATATGGTGATCGTTAGTAAGTAGCACTGAGATCAGCTGGACCGATTGGCATTTATTTTAACTTTCATAATATACGAATAACGTTATTAAAGAATGAAAAAATAGAAAAATTCGCAAGTATGATACAAAATTATCACAAACTTTATTAAAATGTGTATAGAATGTCAGTCAGATCAGCTAATAATTAAATACACTCAAGGACAAATATAAAGGACCGCAACAATTAAATTAAACAATTAATTTGGATTTTGTTTATTATTCGGAAATTTGAAATTGAAAACGTCAAAAAAACTAACGATCAAACGAGATGATTTAACCAAATTAAACTTAACAAATATCCATGACGCTTTGTTTTAAAATCTTAATTTATGCGTTCCTCAAAATTTGTGCGTGAGTATAATTAAAAGGTACTGAAATGAATACGACAAAGCAAAATTGATGATGCTTTACCTCCTCCACGAACATTATGTTTTCTCCGGGAGGGATGCGACCTAACTCTTCTGACTGCAAGCTAGGGCTGGCCCGGACTCGAAGACCGGCGCTGTTTTCTGCAGTGAAACTTCGCACCCTCGAGGAAGGTGATGATTGTCCCGCAACTAGCGGTTGAGCTCCGCGTTCGGCGGGACCTACGTACGTTGATTCGACAACGTCGATTGTTAATTCCTGAAAAACAAAACCTCGTTAACTTGAGCGCACTGTTTACATCATCATCATCATCAGCCTTTATCTGCCCACTGCTGGACATAGGCATTCCCCAATGCCTTCCACATTAGCGTTTTAATTAATAATCTGTTTACATACAACCAGATTATTAATTAAAACGCTACATTAACGCTATCGTGTGAGCTAAGCTATCAAAACATTATTTACTAACAGAAAATAGGTCATATTCCTTTATTATTAGGTCAGAGGTTGACGAGCATCTTCATATTCAATTATTGCTGAGGAAACATCGTAGCGAGGCCCCGACACCCACGCTTTAATGCACATTGGATGCAATATTCTAACTCGAATTGAGAATACGAATCGACAGACGCGTGATGAGATTCTGTCAAATAGCCAGCCTTAAGATATTACTCTACAAGTACTTAGAGAATAGCAATATGGATGGATAAATTCTTTACACAAATCTGTTACTGGTAGGTCGGGTAGTTACCTTCACCCTGTCTATTTATATAGCGAAGCAATTATGCTTTCCGGCATGAGACGGTTTCTGTAGAAAACAACTGAAACTTTCACCACAAGTCTCTAGACAAGCAGCGTTCATTTTGCAGCAAAAAATAAAAAACCAGGTTAAGTAGTAGTAAAAAGAATTCAATGTTGCCTCGAGCAACCAATTAACTTAATTTTCATTATTTCCTGGAGAAAGCTCTGCCGCTTGTTAACAAGGAAGCAAAAAACAGCGACTAGGTGCAGCTTTATTTATCAGTTTCACTAGAAGTTTTATATAAAAATACAATTCACATAATCTATATACATAAAAATGAATAGCTGTTCGTTAGTCTCGCTAAAACTAGAGAACGGCTGGACCGATTTGGCTAATTTGGGTCTTGAAGTATTGGTGGAAGTCCAGAGAAGGTTTAAAAGGTAGATAAATATGAAAATGCTCGGAATTAAATAAAAATAACAATTTTGTTTTTCCTTTGATGTCCCCCCCGTCGGACGGATTCCTTTTGTTTGTTTTAAGTTTATTTTATACAAAAGTCTGCCGGGTCAGCTAGTCCATAATAAAAAAAATACCTTTTTATAGTTTCATTACAAATATCGCATTACATAATTGTCTGGTAAAAAATATTTCATTTCACTTCCAATCGTCATCTCACATTCTTAGTATTTTCGTCACAATGTCAGTTTAACTTAAACATATGAAACATAATTAAAATGGAATATATATTGAATTTAGGAACATACATGAACTAGAGACACAAACTAGTAAATTGAGAAACCAGGTCATTTCAAACTCTAAAAGGCGACTTCCGATGCAAGGGTAAAACAATTGCAAGTTTCGAACTTAGTGTAGAACAGCTATCATACGCTTTGTTATATTACGAACTAAAGGTAGCCTTGTTATAAGTCCATCACTACCTATACTTGAACCAATATACTATGTTTAGTACGAGTATAATATAGAGCGTATATAGCATATGTTATGTGACGCATGAACTTGCCAGTCACATGATGTATCGAAGAGCGGCACCTTAACTAAATTAGGCATTTTATATTACACAATATTTCAGCTGAAATAGTTTATTATTTTGACTAACCTACGTTAGTTCATACTTCTAGACATTAAACATGAAAATAAGTACTAACAAAACATTTACTGGTGGTAGGACCTCTTGTGAGTCCGCACGGGTAGGTCCTGTACCACCACTCCGCCTAGTTCTGTCATGAAGCAGTAATGCGTGTCGGTTTGAAGGGTGGGGCAGCCGTTGTAACTATACATGAGACCTTTAAACTTATATCTCAAGGTGGGTGGCGCATTTACGTTGTAGATGTCTATGGGCTCCAGTAACCACTTAACACCCGGTGGGCTGTGAGCTCGTCCAACCATCTACGCAATAAAAAATAAAAAACATCGCAAAAACAAGGTGTTATTTTCACTTTCGACTATTCATCTATGGTACATAGGAAAATGAATTTCACGGCTCATAAGGTGAGGTTGATGAGACCTTATGTTTAAGCGGTGTCACAATACGCCTTAAGTATTCTGCAGTAAAATCAAAGTGTTTTATACAAACATATGTATACATTGTTTCACAATATGCATCGAAATTAATCTGCACATGTCTCTAATATCAACATGGCAGCTTCGCCGCAGGAATGTCATTACCGCCCTGTGGAAATTGCATTCTACCGGAAAATGTGCGATAAACCTTTTAGTGAACATGTAGGATGTACATAAATTTATTCATGTTGAACTAGTTTTATTCTGTTGATACTATATCGGCACTTCCCGTTTATTAATAACTCATTTGTTTTCGTAAGTAAAGGTGTGCAAATTTGAAGATCTAATTAATTACTAGGGTTGATATGTTATTTAGCCAAGGACCCGCGCATCATAAATCTATTAAAGTAATGCTAACTATTTACATCAAAGCCTCGCCTATCTATGTGGTCTTGATGTAATGATCATATTTATCGCTAACAGGTAATCTAAAGCAGATTGTTTCAAAACACGCGAATTTGCTGACATATTTTTTCCCATGTTGTTATTTTAATTATAATATCAGAAAAGTCACCTATGAATTATCACAAGATTTTTTGGAGACTAGAATTTTCTGTTTATCCGAGCACACAATTTACAATGTTACGGAAAGCACACTCTATTTATTAGAAGAACAAGCGCTCGAAGTGCTTTCACTGCGTAAGCAAGTTTGCAACCACTATTAAGTTACTCGACTATAGTGAGTATTTTCAGTGAAACAATATTACGAGATCGAGAAATTTCAAAAATCTCATCTATACATTTGTTACATTCAAATCAAAATTTTATTTTTCTTGTGTAGATCGATCGACAGTAGCAATTACGATTACTAGAGGTCCCGCAGTGGTCGAAATTCGACTATAATAGATTGGAATCGTTAGTTATTATGATTGTATTTTATACTTCTATAATCACAAATTTCGCCAAGACTACACTATAAAAAATATTAACAAAGATAAACAATCTTTAATCTCAATTTGATAACAGACGTCAAGAACAAAAGTTTGACAATAAATAGTATGCATGCGTGTGTGCGTCAAATACATGGTATGTAGTGTGTGTAATGTTTTATTTATTGACTTAATGTATCTTTCATGCATTATTTAAAATAAAAAATAGCATTGTGCACTTCTTCTCTATATTCTCTATAAGTGTGGAAAATTTCATACTCCTCCGTCCGCGCAATTTTCGTAAAAAGGGATACAAGGTTTTTGCTTCACGTATTAATATATAGATAAAAACCTACATGCTGTAGTACGGTTGACATAGGCCTAAAACGATAAAATGATAAGGTGTCTGAGATATTTCGAACTACGATCGATTTGCCACTTTTGGAGGTGCATCAGTTGAAATGTTATTCTTTTTAATTATAACCATCGACGATCGCTTCACCACTTTTCGAACTAAATGTAATAAAGATATTTTGTTTTATTTCAATATTTTTGTAACAAGCACATATTGTTTTACCGTTCGATATCATTGCTTATAATATTATACAATATTAACAATATTATATAATATTACTGGTTGGACCTCTTGTGAGTCCGCGCGGATAGGTAACATCACCCTGCCCTGTTTCTGCCGTGAAGCAGTAATGCGTTTCGGTTTGAAGGGTGGGGCAGCCGTTGTAACTATACTTGAGACCTTAGAACTTAGAAAACAATTTTAAATGTACATATAAACTCGTACAGTGAGGTGTCCTACTACGAGTATGAAATACCCGACACGAAAACCCAATCACGAATCCTGATGTGTGCGGTCAGGCTTAGTCTCTCCTACAATTGAATTGCTCACATCTGACTAGCCAATAATCTGACAGCCTATGCTTGACTGTCGTGTTTCAATTACGTAAACCTGTATCGTCTATATCACCTACTTAGTTAACTAAATATTCTGTGGTGGATTTTATTGTGTTTTCATTGTCAAATCTATTGGCGCGAATTGGATTAAGCGATGAAATAATCGCCAAAATAAAACTAATGAAACAATAATTTTATGTCGAAAGCACTGAACCAAGTCGATACAGGAATGTTTCAAGACACAAAATATTTAACGTTCGCTTTTTCGTTATAAAATCACTATTTTGTATTTATTGCTTAGATTGGTGGACGAGCTCACAACCAACCTGGTGTTAAGTGATTACTGGAGCCCATAGATATCTACAATGTAAATGCCGCCACCCACCTTGTTATATGAGTTCTAAGGTCTCAGTATAGTTACAACGGCTGCCCCGCCCTTCAAACCGAAACACATTACTGCTTCACGGCGGAAACAAGTAGGTACCTACCTGTGCGGATTCACCAGAGGTCCTACCATCAGTGATGACTTACCACTAATGATCTAATCAGAAAGCAAGGTATTTTTAAATTCTGAACATCTTTTCCTTAAACGGTTGTAAATTTTTAAAATGATCCTTAGCTTAGGCAAAGTTATTTTCAATATACAAAATAAAGTAAAGATTACTTTTAAAACGTAACAAGTCGTCGTGGCCTAAAGGATAAGACGTCCGGTGCATTCGTATGTAGCGATGCACCGGTGTTCGAATCCCGCAAGCGGGTACCAATTTTTCTAATGAAATATGTACTTAACAAATTTTCACGATCGGCTTCCACGGTGAAGGAATAACATCGTGTAATGAAAATCAAAACCGCAAAATTATAATTTGCGTAATTACTGGTGGTAGGACCTCATGTGCGTCCGCACGGGTAGGTACCACCACCCCGCCTATTTCTGCCGTGAATCAGTAATGCGTTTCGGCTTGAAGGGTGGCAGCCGTTGTAACTATACTGAGACCTTAGAACTTATATCTCAAGGTGGGTGGCGTATTTGCGTTGTAAATGTATATGGGCTCCAGTAACCACTTAACACCAGATGGGCTTTGAGCTCGTTTACCCATCGAAGCATTAAAAAAAACGTCAACATTTTAAAAATAAGATGCTACTTTTTATTTTGTACTTACGTTTGGTACGGGTAGATCGTCCAGGGTGCATTTGAATACGTAAGTGCCCGGGGACCTCGGGGTCCAGGAAGCGTAGAATGTACCGTCGAGCTGCTGGCGCACGGTGAGACGCTCCGCCGGCGAGCGTCCTGTGCCTCCAAACGCTACAGCGTTCGACATCGACCGACCCCAGGCCCCGGCAGTGAAACGAATTTCTTCGAACGAAAAGTTCTGGTACGCCTGTTTTATATAACATTATGTATATCTATATATATATATATAAAAATGAATTGCTGTTCGTTAGTCTCGTTAAAACTCGAGAACGGCTGGATCGATTTTGCTAATTTTTGTCTTGAATTATTTGTGGAAGTCCAGAGAAGGTTTAAAAGGTAAAAATAACAATTTTTTTTTCCTCGGATGTGTCCCCCGTCGGACGGATTCCTTTTGTTTGCTTTAAGTTTATTTTATACAAAAGTTTAGGTCTTTTATTTATCGATGGAGGCACTACGAAGTCTGCCGGGTCAGCTAGTATTATATTATATCTTCATTATACTTTCATTCAAAACTGGTTTATTCGCTATTAATACGGATCTTTAAATTGATCCAAAGATGAGTGAGTGAATTTTACATAGCTAATTTATAAAATCTTGCATTTTATAAATTAGCTATGTAAAATTCACCTCATCTTCCAGATCGATACATATTATATTCTACATACATACAGATTTTTATAAATAAAAATTATGATACTTGGACTGTTTTGGGTATTTTGGGTCTTAAAATGCTCGCTATTATTAAAATGGTGCTCTATAGGGAAAATAAATAAATTTGAGAGCTCAAATTCACTAAGATCAAATTGTTGATTATACATACAATACAACATACCTAACGATATACAAATACATATAATTGGTTATTTTACTTGGTTAAAGGCACTAAACGACATAAATTATTTTACTAAGTGATTTAAATATTCACTTACAATTAGTTTTAAATAGTTTTTTCACAATTATCAAGTCAACATTTGCCTAACACAAAAAAATATTTTTTTAATTTGATTTTCCTGCCCAAAACCCATTTTAATTTGTTGATTATTAGTCAAAGTCAGTTTTAATAGAATTATAAGAAAAACGGATAATTTCCAAGACTAATTGTGATACGCATGTACATTTATATGTGTAAGGAAACAAAATGACCTTAATATGAAAATAGTTCATAACTTTATTTAGAAGTAACCTACAGATGATGTAACGTAATATGTAATCCGATCAAAACGAACGGTACGAATTAAGTGCACTGCATTCGTAACCATAATTAAAAATAAATTAAATCGCATCGAATTCAAATTAAAAACTAAATTACGGAAACGCGATCAGAAGCTTTTCATTACAAATTGTTAATGTGAAATAAATCACAAGTAGGTCACAACAGCCAATAGCTCTGAAACAAATTGTGAGAATGGCATGCCGACCTTGCTTCTTTCTAGTCGACAAACACTCTCGGTTTCTCGGTAATAAAATAAAATGTAACATATTTTCCAAGATGCACTTAAAGTAAAACGAGTTGTCGAGGCATTCAATATAGCTCAGAATACAAGCAAGACTCGACATTTCTCAGTTTACAGTATATATTTGATATCACTTCAATTTCAAATTTATCCTCCTTTGTTCTCAGTCAAGTTTGTAAGACTGTTGACATTCTTAACTAAGAAAAATAAAATTGCATTGACAGATTTCATAATACAAGATTGCAGATTCAAGGGTGCTACAATTTACCTTCATCATACTGATGGCTTGGAAGCACATATTGTCTCTTACGGTAGGCTGATATGGTATATCAGGCAAGCCCTCGTCATTACCGGGACCTGAAGCCCTACTGGCCCGGGCCCCGCTTCCTTCGAGTCGCTGCACAACCACCTGTAACAAACATTGACCCGAAATATGATCTACCCGCGAAAAAGACTTTGACAAAAAAAATTCTTTTAATTTTCTTTGTAAGGTTTATTACTTGTTCAACTTCTCTATATAAAAGAGTAGGTACTTTCGTAGCATCTGATCGGATGTAAATGTCCAACTCGACATCTAAGAAATTTAAGAAATTTTCTTCACTGTTTTTATTGCGTCTATTTTACATATTGGGTAAAGGCCGCGAATATTACTATCCGACTTACCCGATCAATAGAATACCACCTATTTTTAGAAAGATATTTAACTGTCCGCAAATCTTGGGTTCTACTAAATGAATTTTCATGAACTTGTCACAGCAAGACATAGATTAAATTGGAGCAGAGTATTTTTTTTATTGCTTAGATGGATGGACGAGCTCACAGCCCACCTGGTGTTAAGTGGTTACTGGAGCCCATAGACATCTACAACGTAAATGCGCCGCCCACCTCGAGATATAAGTTCTAAGATCTCAGTATAGTTACAACGGCTACCCCACCTTCGAACCGAAACGCATTACTGCTTCACGGCGGAAATAAGCGGGGTGGTGGTACCTACTCGTGCGGACTCCCAAGAGGTCCTACCACCAGTATAAACTTTATTTCACTAAGCCGGATGTAACAAAAAAGTTATCGTGATTTAAAAAATAATATTGAAATACTATACTATTGGATGTTAGATGTTATATGGAATATGATATGAATGACGCTGTCTGCTAGTTCTGTTTTCACGCCCAAAACACTATAATAATTTTAACGAATTTTGATATAAATTTAGTATAAGCTCTGGTAGTGGCTGTTGACCAAGATATCCGCCCACCCTATGCAAAGTGCAGTCCGGGCAAAGCTGTGGGCAGAAAACTAGTGTAAACACTTAAAGAAAAAACTCGACTGCTTAGGAATTTTTTGAAACGATAAAGTTACTACGTGAAACGTTCTAGCTTCTACTTTAGTTTTGTCCCAGATAGGCAGGCTGTATTTCACACCAATATATACTGTAAGCGTGCCTCACTCATAGATCTAGGCTACACCAGGGTCAAGACCAAACCGCGGCTGGATGTGAAGTACTATACTCGTAACTCATAAATAAACATTCCAAAACTTAAACAAAAATAAGAAGCCTATAGGTATATCGAATTCAATTGATTGTATATGTAAAAAAAATCCGACGTTTCTTTGCGACTTTAGGTAATCGAGATAATTACAAATATTGTGATAATATCGATATTCAAATGATTTTATTGGATAAATTTTGCAACTTAAAACTTTTATGGATTCCAATTTGAACTGTCCTATTACATTTCCTTATCCGTTGAATATTTATAAAATAGAGAATGAAGTTTTTCATTTGATCAACCTAAAAACGTGATATGTTTATTATGTATTCATTACTGTATTGTTAAACAATAGCTATCAAGGACACTAATGTAGGAAATTAACGATCTCGGTGAGCGTTCGGCACAAATTAGGAATCGTATATATTAACAGCGTGTAAATCAATGATAAATTCTAATTGTTCGTGTAGTGCAAACTTATTTCTATTAGATGTAAAAACATTCTGCGAGGCTGAAACGCGACCTTCGTAGACTCCGTAGCTTATTAGACAGCTACATCGATTTTACAGCCACGATTTTTATTATTTATTGTGTATCACGAAGAACTTTTTCTTTAGGTTAAATAATAAGAACAAGTATTGCCTTGACGATTCTTTTAATACAAATACATTTATTGAATAATTCAATTACGGGTGATAATTCCTTACGTTATTTATTATTGAGAAAAATAATTAATAACGCATTATTTTGTTGGAAAATTCGATTTTCAATAATATATTTGAAAAAAAAAAATACAGTTGCTTTAAATTCCATTGCTCTTGAATTCCAGCTTCGAAAATCTTCTAAAAGACTTTTTCGAATGCATTAGTTTCTTTTTATTTTTTAACTTTTCCCTGGTAGCCTAAGGGAATATTCGGGCTTCTCAAGAACGAGTACGTGAGCTCACGAGCACAACCTGAGGGAATTTGCTAACACTAGTCCTAGCACGAGCAGTGCTTTGCCTGTCGCCGTGGCCTGGATAAGACGTCTTGTGCATTCGTTTCGAACGATGCAACTGTGTACGAATCAAAGTTTTTTATTCGAGCTTACACTAAAGTTACATTGTATTCACATTTCAGTCGCCATTTTGGAATATTCAAAATCTGAAGACCGAAACGATCGCACGCTTTTAATAACAAGTTCAATTTAATACACCTTTATCAAAAAAAACAGAAATACTTCCGGGTGAATTTATGTTTCGCTTGTAGGCAGACGAGCATATGGCCCATCTTATGGTGAGTGGTTACCGTTGCCCATGGACTTCAGCAATGCCAGGAGCAGAGCCAAGCCGCTGCCTACTGATTAAATGAACGCTTTTTGAAAACGTTAAAAATATAACTTAATAAAAATTCAAATTGCATGGTAAAATCATTTCATTCGTCGCTATTAGATTTTGCATCACAAATTTTATACATAGGTATGTTGTATGCATTACTATTTTTACGGAAATTGGAAAGTGTCATCCTCTACCTGGAAAGATAAGCTTCGCTGAAAAGATTGCCTTCTAAAACAGATATTGATCGGTCATGTTTCAGATATTACCTCAAAATGCAATCTGGGAGCAGACATAAATAAATATTACGCATGCAATGCATTCTTTGCATCGATGACCATTCACACCAGCTATTTACCCACAGCTGACTCTTTTATGACTATTAATTTTTAGATCGCGTTTTAATTGTATTTCAGGATACAGTGAGGTAGAAAGGCCGCACTTTTTGTTACCGCGGTTCATAGATGCACTACAAAGCAAATCCCGCGTTATACATCAGTGTGTTTAGGGCGAATGTTTTAACTTCTCGATCGCGTAAAAGTTAACTCAAATTTGTATGGAGTTGGAATGAAAAATTTAAAAATATTTTATTAAGTACACTGAAGACAAAATTTTGCTGTCTTTTTTTATTTTATTGCCTTGATGTGTTGACGAGCTCCACCTGGTGTTAAGTGGTTACTGGAACCCATAGACATCTACAACGTAAATGCGCCACCCACCTTGAGATATAAGTTCTAAGGTCTCAAGTATAGTTATAACGGCAGAAATAGGCGGGGTGGTGGTACCCACCCGCGCGGACCCACAAGAGTCCTACCACCAGTAATTACGCAAATTATCGTTTTGCGGGTTTGATTTTTATTACACGATGTTATTCCTTCACCGTGGAAGTCAATCGTGAACAATTGTTAAGTACGTATTTTATTAGAAAAATTGGTACCCGCCTGCGGGATTCGAACACCGTTGCATCGCTATATACGAATACACCTAGAATCTAGATAATGGCTAGGCCAATCAATAAATGCGGGTTTTTATTTAACGTATTAACAATTCAAAACCATTTTACAAGAACGCATGTTTAGTAATAATAAAAAATTACAAGTAATGAAATAAAATAAAAAATTATCTATATTTCGTTTTTTTTTTTCTTTTGAAACCACAGAAGTGATAAACCACCAAAAGTCGCCTTATAAAAGGAGATTTGCACATTAATTTTATTCTTAATCGAACGATAAGCTCATTTATGTTGAGCTCGTGCAACACGTGTAAGAAGTTTTTATAACAATAAACCAAGGACAATCTATTACAAAATAACCTTCAAACGATGTTATCGCCGCAATGTCGGTGACCATAATTCACTTCTAGTCCTCTTTACTCTTAAGAAGATTATATTTATATACTGCATACTGTGTTGCATTTTATTCACGCTACTCTGTTACGTGTTTGTACGCGTTTATATTTTACAACATTTTTAATACCGCATGTATTTCTAGTAGGTTAAATATTGACGTAACATAAAATTTATTACACGTTTCACGTAATTTCAATTTGTTCATAAATAAGCAGTACACCTATGTGATTAAAATAAATTCATTTAAATAGTCTAGTATCTATCAATTTGGTTTTTATTCCAGCATCGGGCAAATATTTTAGTGGCTGATTTCCATTGCACCGGTTATCCTACTTTGGACCGAGACCAGTAATTATTTGTTCTCCTGATTATTCAATTAATTATAAAACACGATTTTTAGCAAGATCTCAATGTTTTTTCATTCGAATGGTACCAATGATGTAGGCTTTTTTTTTTTTCCACAGGAGAAAATCGCCGGATCCCCACCCGCGCGGCAGGTGGGGTATGTGGGAGTTGAACCTCACTAAAAACTCCTGCCGCTCACAACCGGCGCCCTACCTCGGACCGGGCCGGAGCCCAGTCGGGGCTATTGAAACGGCGGGACAGGGTTGACGCAGAGCACATTACATCCATCCCACCGTAATGATGTAGGCTTACCTCAACTTTAAGTGCCGGCGAAGCAACGTAGTCTCCGTACTGATCTCTCACGAGAACCGGTAGTATTACCCTTGTAGCAGGCCTAGCTGGTACAGCCGGTGCCTTCAACTCGCAATTGTTGGGCTCGACGCGAGATGTTGGCGCCAACCAGCGAGCGAGGCGGCCACCGGCTGTGTTTTCATCGCCCCCAACGAAGTCAGACAAAAATTGACGTTCCGTAGATATGCACCTGAGAACAAATTGCATATTCAATTAAATTTTCCTGAAACTACCGCTACATACTCGTGTTTAATTATAGTATCCCGCATAATAATTTTAAACCTAAAGTTAAAACTACATAGCTATTAGTTTCAAAACCTTATGAATTTTTACAATTATCATATTAATTGATGTTCATTTAAAGTTCCATTATGCCTAAGTAGTTTTTAAGTTCAGCTACAGAAACATAATTCCACTGAACAGAGTTGAGTAGAGAAATACTACGAGTACGAGAAATAACAATCCAAGTTTCTCGGGTTTCTGACAACTTGCGGAGAATGCACCGCCTCTACCTTGTTAATTATTGTCGTCGAAAGTTACAGATAACTAACTAACTCCTCTACATATTGTGTTTGGTGCATGTAATGTTAAATAACGAGATAATAATACGAAGAACAATTAAAATAAAAACTCGGAACAAATGACGCGTGGTCATCCGACCCCAAATTAGGATTCTCTGTGTTTTGGATACCAGAGACTAACATACTAGGCTGCACTAAAAGTATCGGGAATGGAATATTTCCACTGTTCCTGTCATATTAAAATCTTATTAATTGAAAAATCCTTGGTTTTAAAAATCGAATACCATTTATTTATCTATAAAAAGATTGTCGGTCTCGTCACGAGGTTTTGTCAAACTTCTTTAGTCGTTGAGAAAATGGAATTGACTCGAGAAAATTCAAGCGCGATAATGATTATGACTTTCGAAGTGGTTTAACACAAAAACAGTGTGTTGACCGGATGATTTCTGCATTTGGTGATGAAGCCCCATCCAAAACCACAATTTATCGCTGGTTTGCTGAGGTTCAACGTGGACGTGTCAAGCTCAGTGATGATCCCCGTCAAGGTCATCCAAAAACTGCAGTCACCCAAGAAAACGTTGATGCTGTGCGTAAGCTGATTGAGGAAGATCGACATGTGACATACCGCGAAATTCAGGCAACTTTAGACATTGGCATGAGTCAAATACAAATAATCTTGCATGAACAATTAGGTGTAAAAAAGTTGTTTTCCCGATGGATACCGCATTCGCTCTGTGAAGAGCAAAAAGCGGCTCGCGTTACTTGGTGCGTCAGAACTCTCGAAAGATTCCACGCAGGATCCTCAAATGCTGTATACAACATTGTATCAGGTGACGAATCCTGGATATACGCGTACGAACCCGAAACAAAAAACCAGTCACGAGTTTGGGTGTTCGAAAATGAGTTAAAGCCAACAAAAATTGTTCGTTCACGGAGTGTTGCAAAAAAAATGGTGGCCACGTTTGTCTCCAAAACCGGCCATGTTACGACTATTCCTCTTGAGGGACAAAGAACGGTTAATGCAGAATGGTATGCTAGCATTTGTTTGCCACAGGTCGTTTCTGAACTCCGTAAAGAGAACTGCAACCGCCGCATCATCCTCCATCACGACAATGCGAGTTCTCACACCGCGCACAGAACAAAAGAGTTTTTAGAGCAAGAAAACATAGAATTATTAGACCATCCGCCGTACAGCCCCGACCTAAGCCCTAATGATTTCTATACTTTCCCTAAAATAAAGAATAAATTGCGTGGACAGAGATTTTCATCACCTGAAGAAGCTGTGGACGCCTACAAAACGGCCATTTTGGAGACCCCAACTTCCGAATGGAATGGTTGCTTCAATGATTGGTTCCATCGTATGGAAAAATGTGTCAAATTTCGCGGAGAATACTTCGAAAAGCAATAAATACATTTTTAAATAGTAATGTTGTGTCACTTCGTAAATTCCCGAAATTTTCAGTGCCGCCCTCGTACATACTCATACACGTTTAAATATATTTATGTAGATAATAAACACTCAGCCAAAGAGCAAACAAACCAGGTCAACACTCAAAATTTTCCCAGCGCAACAGTCAGGAGCGCTAACTAGTGCACCACCATTTTTTTTCTTATCCCTACCTATGCTGATAGCCTTGAGAGGCCATTTAGCTTTACCCTAGCGTGTAGGTGAGCTTTCGTGAGCTAACACAAGCCCTAGCAAGAGCAAGAATGCTTCGCAGAATCTACCACCGGATCGGAAACGCGACCCACTGAGAAGATCCGGCGAAACGGGTTCGGCAAGGACGGTGACCAGTGCTTGAGGTACCTAATGGATCGGGAGGATCCGTAATGACGTGTTTAAGGCGACGTCGACGGTTTACCATTCGGTGCACAGGGTCGGGTATACTGCACCACCGAGTCAGGACTTGAGAATATATACACCTAAATTACGATTAATAATTGCTCAAATTAGCAGACGGCATGTTCATTATACACATCACGGTTTAATGTCCCCCTCAGAATAAAGTCATTTAATTAATACTGTACAAAATCTCTTTCGTGAACGCTATTCAATTTGCGGATATATTTTGTACATGCAAATAAAACATTCAATATATGACAAAGCTTTACACAACATTGGAAATTCGATATTGGATGTTTCACATCTACTGCGTTCGGATAATAGGTTTTAAAGCGTACTATAGAAATTTGAACTGAAAACCCGGATTGAAGTTTATCGAGAGCGACATACATTTTACAGAGAAAACCAATATTTTATACTAAGTGCTTAATGGGGAAACTATTTGACGATATATTAAATCAGATAAGTCGATATAGAGTATATACACATAAGATTTAAATTGTTTACTAAAAATATACCTTCATACAACATCTCCATGCTTGATTGTATATTTTGCTTAGACAAGTTAACGAATTCGCGGCCCCTGTGGTGCTAAGTGGTTTCCGAAGCCCATAGAAATCAACAACGTAAATAAGGCCAACCGTCTGATTGACGACGTGATTTTTAAGTCTCAGTTTATACAGTACAATGGAAGCTCCAGCCTTCATCAATCGATACGAATTACTACTTCGCGGCAGAAGTAGGCGAACGATAATACATAGGTACCGTGCGGACTCACTAGACGTCTTATCTTCAGTAATTATACAAATTATATTCTTTACGGGTTTGATTTTTGTTACGCGATGTTATTCTTTCACCGTGACATCATTCGTGAAGATGTGTTCGGGTACGTATTTCATTAGAAAAATTGGTACCCGCTTGCAGGATTCGATTACCGGCATTGACGTATCGCCGAATATATTCTATAGGCCACGACAAATTTTTAGTACGAGAGTAGTGTGAGAGTTGAAATAAGAGGGAAGAGTACGTTTCTTAAGCGCACATAGGAAATTACCAGTGCCCTCTCTATAATATTACAAAGCTATCACGCGTTAGTGTCTGAAATACAAAGTACCCGTTAATAGAATCGAATTTAATCTCTCAGTAAATTGTCCCTTCATAACAAGGTAACACTCTACAAAACTTGCATACTTTCTGTCATGGGCTATGCAAACGTAGTATTCGCTGACGCGGACCGTACGTGGTATGTGAGGAATGTTGATTTTCACGACGATCTAAATTTAAAATCGATACTTAAGTATCTAAGGGAAGCGGCAGAACGTTACTTCGAAAAAGCGGCGCGACACAATAACCCCCTTTTCGTGGCTGCCACTAATTACATATCACATTGACACATTGTCAGATCCCTCAGATTCACTTTCGATGCTTTTAGGCTCTTCAAGCACCGATCACCGTACTCCTGAAACTCGTCGGTTACGACGAAGAGTTCGACGAGCGAACTAACCTAACCAACTGAGTTTTCGCTGGATCTTTTCAGTGGGTCGTAATTCCGTTCTGATAGTAGATTCTACAAAACTCTGCTCTTGCTGGTGGTAGAAAATTCTGAGGTTGAGTCCGTGAGCCCAACCGCGCGCGTAGTTGTAATAGCCGCTTATCATAACACCTTAACATCTTCATGAAAGAGTTCCAAGATATTCGAATAGAATCCTGTATTAAAAATCAACCCCGCAAAACGTTCGGTACCTAATTACTGGTGGAAGCGCTTATTGTAGTCCCGCATCAACCAATCTTGCTTATTACTACCGCCAATGAGTCATAATTATCAATTTGAAGGGCGGAACAACATTTATGCAATTCAATTGAGACTACGGTCTTTTATCTCAAGGTGGGTATTTGCATTCAGGTTGCGATGTCTATGGTCTCCGATAATCACTTGAAGTTAAGTGGGCTGTGAGTCTATGCACTTCTTCACCTATATAATAAAAATAAGGACATAAGACGCCTGCCTAGTCTTAAGAGAAAACATCGAATTTACGTTCGACAGTCTCAGTACATTGTTAAGAGATTTTAAATCTCGTGTAAAAACGTCAGTGTATCTCATGCTCAGCTTACGTATCGTAACATTTTTAAACGGCATTATAAATGTTCCTATTTAATAAAATGCTTTATTTGAAACTCTTCACCCGTTTCTGCACGTCTGAATAATTGATCAAGCAGACGAATTATTATTATCCGGCTCCGAGAACTAATTATAATTATTAACCAGTTCCCAGTAGAAATTCAATATATATTTTAGACGAGCTTTATCCTAAACGACGAACCACAATTAATTCAGTGAATCAAACAATTTAATATATTCGCGTTTTTTAAGGCTTGTTTCAACAGAAAAATTATCAGAACTACCTAATCAGAAGTAATTTTATTTTACTATTTTGTACTAGAAATTCTTGGGTCACAATCTTGAACAGCTGATGGTGACAGGAAAGGTAGATGGCAAGCGTCCCAGAGGACACAGTCCCACGAGATGGTCGGACCAAATACGATCTTCTCTAAGCATCAATTTCCACAATGCCCTTCATGAAGCAAAGGATCGCAACAGATGGAGGGAAATCGTACGGGAGAAACTGATGCAGCGGGGGAGTCTCAAATCTCAGTAATGAAGAAAACGACGCGAGGAGGAGGACTAGAAATTCAATAAATCAATTTTAACTAAACATTGATAATTTCTTTGTACTCTACTGTGAATGGCGTATACGTACATATTTGAAGAAAATTATCTTAAAACAAGTTCAAGCATACATATACCTCGTGTTTGGTCGTGTGTATTAATTTTGAGGCTTTCCTAATAGATCAAATTTATATACTATGATGTAATTTTAAAAGCCTAGATGGAGAAGGAGATGCAACTTTAGTTTAAAGTGCAGTAGTATCGGTAGGGCCGCCCGATCCTCAGGCCCCTGCGACCTCTGATCTATAAACAGTGATGAGACACTAACAACTTTCAAAATATCGACAAAAATATTAATAAAAAGAACCGACCAATTTTTTTTTAGTACATGAATGTCTTTGTAACTGCAAACTGAATAATAAAAAAATAATCATTATAGGCAATAGTGAGTTTTTGTTAGTAATAATATTATTTCCTCGTATGAACTGATTTTTCATATAGCACTACATAATTTATTAGTAAATATCAGTTCAGCTGTCATAGAATTCTATATCGACACCATCATGGTTGTTAAATCGTATGTACCAATATCAAAAATATTTTTTCTCCAATCATTTCATTCAATTCAAATAAAAACTAGGAACGGACATACTATTGAAGTTAAAATATTTTAAGACAATTAGAAACGTTTTAAATGTTGCAGTATTTGTTTAAACTTTAACCCACAATACTCCAATATTAGTTCAGTATCGGAATACGGAACAATCGCGTGCTGCCATAAACTGTGAAACTAAAAAGTAAGTCCTAGATCAACTGCTTTCAGTTAGTAACTACTCGTCGTCTTTAGTGGTTGGCACATTTCATTTTTGAAAACACTACTGTGACAACTTCCATTCCTTCGGGTTATTTATCAAATTTAAATTAAAAAAATCAAATTGCTCAGTAAATAATTTAATGCTTTGTGATTACCTGATTAGACTATCATATAACGCCTCTTTGTTAGGGCTATTGTTAGCAAATTCTACCCTTCCTGTACCCACGTAGATGGAATAGTCCCCTAGGTTACCAGGGAATAGGTGGTGAGAAAAAAAAACAAGTCATGGCCAAGAGTCGTGATCAGTATCCAACATCGAGTATACTTGTCACACAACATATTATCGTGACCAACGGTCGTGAATGTTTCTGTGTGCATCCATCGACAAAAGCATACTTCCTTGCCATTTTATTGATGCCTACTAGATTTCAAGTTCATTTTTATCAACGTAATTTTTATTACTGAAACAAATATCATATGAAAATATCACAAGTCTAATAAATTCTGACAGTTAAGTATTGCACTCAATAATTGTATTTTTTTTAATTTACATTTGTCTTAAATGAATGCGTTATACGAGTAGTATCCTAAATTGACCAAAAGTAACGAATTCGCCTCAAAGTTTCGGTCAACAAAAAAAGATTTACCTTGACGATCGCTCTTCATAAAACATAATTCTCTTTTCTAGCAAAAATATTACTTTATACCCACTTCAGACTAGTTTGAAAAATATATACAATTCAAAGTTTCCAAAGCGGTCGAGAAAATCCATGTTGATCTGTGAATTACTTATTAATACGTAATGCCCTTGCCTACGAACATATTGTCCAAACTAGGCCCAAATAAAGTTTTAATCTGGATAAAATTATCGATTTTACACAAATATGTATTTTAAAGGTAGTAGTATCAAATGTTCATCAAAAATTTTTTACAATACTCGTAGTTGTCGTTTGTTTGAACTTTGTCGTCTAAATTGATATCGATAAACCAAATAAAATATGTACCGATTTACTCCTATGTGTGAAAACATATCGTGGACGTAATACAAGTAGAAAAAACATATTTAATTGGTAAGAAGACATATATTTACAATTATAACCGAAGTGCATTTTGTACAGTACATAGCGAAGTGTTTAAAATTCGAAGTAAGTAACAATTAAATAGTTTCTTTTTGTTCTTTATCTCAAAATATCGTGTGACAAAACTATCATACATTTCAACAAGGGAATCGATATATATTTACAAAACAATATACGCTGTAAGATTTTTTTAATTATATAACCTTAATTCGAAGAGCTGTTAGAAACTTAATACTTTATCTGTTAAAAGTGTAAACTAAAAAAAATTGGAAACAACTTCTTTTGACAACTTTATCTCATAAGATAAAAACAAATTTTACAAGCAACTAAAAACAGGTGGCTAAATGATATGAGGGAAACGACATTAACCCTTAAAAACATGTCTATACGACCAGGATGATACGACCACCGTTGTGATACGACTAGAATAAGAAATAAATTTGAAGTAATTTGAATAGCAGTGTGTTATTGTACCGATGAAATTATTAGTTCCTTATTCAGGACATATTGAACAGAATCTCAATCATTGAGAGAATATGAACACCGTTAACGAATGCACGTCACATTTTTGATGGTAATACCACCGTTTTCTTTAATTTTGATTTATAAATGATTACAATAAAAACTATAATCGATGATGAAATAAATAAAAAATAATAATGATGAAAATAAAATTATATTTAATGGACCCGAGTGAAGCCCATCAGCTAACATGCATTTCCTGCAATGATATACTACGTCACGTTACTCAACCGCCAAAGAATGAGGATATTCCGAATCGTATTTTTACTCTTTATGCACAATGGATTATTTACGATAGTCAAAGAAAAGGGTGTCACGATGAGCGAATCCTGCAAAATGACTAAAAAGTTGTGCCAATCAATTATGAATTTAAAAGGATACGCTTATCAATGATTGGCATATGTGTGCCGGAATTGACCGCTTCAACTTATTACAATCAAGCCATAAAATCACTGCGAGAGGGTGAATTGTACGCATTCCAAACCAGCGATAGAAAATCAACAACCAAGACTGGTCAAATTCTCTAGCCCTCTATTCTTTCAGGACCAAACTCAACCAGATATTGCACGAAAGGTGGTCTTCAAATCGGAGGAGCTGCAACCGTTAACTACATCATCGTATTTGTAAGTATGTTTTATATCTTCGATATAGAACGGGCATTTTATAGGTAAGAACTAGCTGAACAAAATACTGTGACAGTCAAGCAACGTAATCAATTCAACCTTGTACATGTTCGTATCTTATGCGAAAACAAATTCTCTTTATTAGGCGAATAAATGGATAGCTCATCAAATCACCCGTTTTCGCGAAATCAATTACAATTTACTTGTAGTATATAAATTATAATTTACTTCAACAAATGTTTTATTAATCAATTGATAGATATTTATATAGAAAACTCCATTTATGCCATTATTTTTTTGTAAAGACGGCCAAATGACCTCACTGCGTATTAATCTTGATAACTCAAACGATGGTAGCTCAAAAGATAACCCAAAGTCTGATTATTTATAATAAATTATCGGTTACTTCACCTATCATATCGGAACGTAGAAATAATAAACGAGCAGTATACAGAACGACTGGAAGCAATCCATGTAACCAACAACACGCCCTGCACCAGTATTTATTTATGAAAGATGAAGTTAGCAAGGTTAAATGTAGGTACAATAAGGTATGGGTATTACTATTGTAGATACATAAAGGGCAAATTGGTAGAAGTCATATTTCTATTTCTTAAAGGTATGAGTTTGTTTGGTCAGGAGGAAATCGCCGGACTTTCGCCCTACACTGGGGATGCCTCCTGTCGCTCAACCATCAACGTCCAAACCTCGCATGAAACAGAACTCATGAAAAGGTAAAGGGGGGAAAGTGAAGCGTTTAGTGCGAAGCACATCTCTCCCATCACCCTCCCTCTCGGGACGCCGGACTGGCGGTCGTCGGCGCCACCACCACCACCACCAGCCCTCTCGGTCGGCAGGCTATCCAGAGCCCGCCCAGATGGCGCCGGTTTCTTAAAGGTCTAACCGGAGACCCTGATCATATAAGATTCTCTGGCCTTTCTAGGCCAGGGAACAACATACGACATGGAACCCAGCTCCAGCCAGCAATTGGTCCTAGTTGCAGTAAAGAAACGTAAATTGTATGGTCTTATTTTAAAAATTGTATTCCTCAAATTTAACTTTTTTGTTCCTTGATTAAAAGCTAGTACAACTCCGATCCTTTTACACGGCTTAGAAAGTCAATGTTAAATTTAATTTTAGAAAAATTTTAACTAGGTACAACCCTGGAAACCGAAACACGCTTTATGATAATCAGTCTGCGCGTTTTTTTTCCTACCTAAGCTGATAGCTTCTCAAAGCTATTTCAGCGTAACCTTAACTAGTAGGTGAGCTCACGGGGCTCAAACTGGAGTGATGCTAACACTGACCCTAGAAATAGCAGTGCTTCACAGAATCTACCACAGGATCGGAAACGCGATGAATGATGGTAAACAATAAATTTGTGAATTGAATCGTGTTATCAATTTTTCAATTAAACTTGTCTCGTTTTCAGTTTATTAAGGTGTATATAAAATTCCAATGAGAAATACTCCAAAAAAAAACCCATAATTTTGATTTTCATCAATTTTCACAATTATCATGTCATTACAAAATCACCACGTTTACACCGTTTAACAATGGAATGTGATAAAACTGATAAAAATTAGGGTATGTCTAGTGTTAAATGTATAAATGAACAGGCATCATCGATATCTATAATTGGTGGGTGGATGTGAACGCGGCAGCACTAGCATGGACCGGGAGACAACAAGCCGCGATCTCGAGCGCTGCCAGTCCGTGGTCGACGCTGAGCGCGTGCGGACCATCGCGCGTGCCAGCACCATCATGTCGCGATTTCTCGTGTGCACTGTGCTTTTTGTGCTTCTAGCACCCAGCCGTTCAGAACACACTAACGGAGTTTGCAAACTATCCTTTTGCAAATGCGTTCCAGATGCTCACCCCTCCTGGACTATTGTTAATTGCACAGTTCCAACAACCCAGGTACGTATCCTTTCCATTCATGTGCACTTCTAAGACAAGTCTTTATAAAATAAAAGTTTCAGTGAAGTTTATTAAATAATATTACATCGACGCTTGAGTTGCTCCACACAAACGTTTTGTGAATAGTAAATTAAGTCATGTAAATCAAACAAAACGATAAGTAGCTTGACAGTAGGAAACGATAAACTACGGAAGAGACTGTCTATTCTGATTCTGAGCACGTCCCAACAAGTCAAGAGTTGATTTTACAAAGAAAACCCTTGTGTGAAATGTAAAAAATAAACAAAAAGACGCAAAGTACAGATTTAATGTAGAGTAGCATATCGAAAATAGCTCGGAGCCGAATACCAACACATCTCGAATGGTAACACAGTTCGAAACTAAGCGATGATAGTTCCATTTGAAGAATCTACAAAAAAACAGATACCAACAACTTATTTATTACACTTGTTATAAAGTAGCCGATACCAATGAATTACGATTATGACGCCCGTTACCTTATTATGTTATGAATAAATAATAAAGAAATTAAAACTTAAATACAACAAAATTAGTAATACCTACTTCTTATAATTATTATTTTTTTACTATTAGAATTTCTTTAGAAAAGGTGTAAAGGATATCAGGTAGTTTTAGTTTGATGAACACGTTTGTTACTTTAGAGATAAATTATTTTGTTTTTCTTCCAAGCCCCGTTCCAGTGGCAACTCCTTTTAATCAACAGGTTTCGGAAAGTCAAGCCACATTGGTTCCTTTGTACAAGACATAAAACTTTGCATGTGTTTAACTTTCATGGTTATTTGAATCTTAAACATGGATATAGATCATTTAAAGACTAAGAAATTTTCTAGGGATTTAGAAATATCCATGTGTCCGATCAACAAAGTTATGATTGATTCTTATTATTTCCTGAACGCACGTTTTTCGCTAAAAACATATTAACCAACATCTTACAGAAACAGTTAAAAATGAAAGAAAAAAATTAATTTCTACCTGAGAGGCTTTTCTTTGCAGAAACTTTGTATACGGGTAACAATCACTGATAATGTTTTGTTGCATTCGCGTACAGAAACTATAGTGTAACCAGACATAACAAACAGTGTCACGAAATTATATTCAATTAAAGGCCCGGCAGCGAACCAGTGTTGTAGGTTATTATACGTTTGCCTAATGAGATCATTACTCATACGAACCGCTGGTGAATTAGATGGACAATCGTGCCTTTGTCAATAACTTCAACGTCATTTATTTCAAGATGCCATACGGTCTCTAATTTTGAGTCATAACTCGTCAAATATTAACAAGTACACTATTGAATTAATATTAAACTATATGTCAGGGTTTGTTGTTTCAATTAGTGGAAGCGTCAAATGATTTTAAATTAACTATAAAAAAGTTAATGATATGATTTTTGATTGAAATTCGGTATCTTCAACGATTGAAAAATATTTCAAAATTTAAATAATACAGTTTTGTTACTTTTTCGTTAAAATCATCGACATTATACATCAGTCGCAAAAACTACAATGAAAAGATCGTTTATGAGTTTTTTATTGAAAAATTATCAGCGGGCTAAGTGAATTTTCAGTCTGAATGGCTTTCAATAAGCAAGAAGCTACGTAAAATCTCCAAGGATGACCTAGTGCAGCCGGGGCAACGGTCAGACGCAGAGATTTGCCGGTCGCGACGTCGACGCTCTACTCTGGGCCCATCTATTTGCGGTAGCGCGACAACATACGCAAAAATGACGTACACCACACACATCCAAACGTAAATACCGACGCCGGTATTTCAGATGTCTGAATGAATACAGTTTGTTTGCGTTTGAAAATTATGCATTTTTAGTTTACTAGTGGTCCCCGCAGTAGTCGAAATTCGACTACATATAATTAATTGAATTTATAAGTTTGCACATTCTTATTGGTTCTATTGTCAAACACTATTTATTATACTTCTCTAATCACAGATTTCGCCAAGACAGCATCATAGATTATACACTTAATATTTGAGAGACTGCACTATAGACAAATAATGTCAAAGACAAACAATACCAATCTATTCTCAATTTGACCACAGACTTTAAAGAATAACAAAAGTTTCACAATTGACAATTTACAAAGAGTTATACGTATGTGTTGTGTCAAATACATGGTAGTGTGTGTAATGTTTTCTTTATTGATTTAAAGTATTTTAAATGCATAATTTAAAAAAAATATTAGCGTTCTGCACTTCTTCTCTATATTCTCTATAAGTGTGGGAAATTTCATACTCCTCCGTCCGGGCAATTTTCGTAAAAAGGGACACAAAGTTTTTGCTTCACGTATTAATATATAGATGAAAGAATTCGAATGACAAAAAATATTTTTATTTAAAGTGACAAACGAAACAAAAGTTCAATATGTCAATGTCCTATTCTATTCCGCTAGCTCAAATGTAATAATGGTAGTACAGTTGGTTTCATTGTATAATCAGAGTACGATGATACGTATGAATGTGTCTACTAAATTATTAAAGAAAAAAAGGTTTTACTTTTTGTATATCTTACGCCTAGAGTAAATGAAAACAATAGCGGCTTTACCTATATATAAGAAAATGCTGCAAATATAAAAAAAAAAGCAGGACGACCTGACGATTGACGTCGTTAATCGAATCAGCGAGCAAGGCTTTGCATTTAATCGTTAACTGTTATTTACAGTTCAAGAATTTGTAAAACAACAACTAGGTCCGAGAAGTTCTCTGGTCACATAATAATTATATTTCTTCTAACTATTAATGACTATGATATTATGAATCAGTTGACTTGCATGATAACGGTTTGTGATAAGGAAACCTCGACCCTGCTTTCTGTTCATAAGTTGGAACGGTAAGAAATAATTTCACACAACATATTACTACAGGCTCGAATAAAATAATGATCCACAATTTCTCCTATTAAGACTATAGTAATCAATGGCAAAAAAAGAAAGATAAACTATACTGATGCAGGCACTAACTATGATTCTGGGGGCGCGCCATGAACATAGTATGGATTCTTGGAAAAATAATCTTATTATATTATCAATTAATAATGCAGGTGGAGTTTGGCATTCAATTATTCGGTTAGTATCGGGAATCGAGAGCTTTACAATATTTACACTGTCACTACATAGGAGCTGATACCCACATCAAAGCGCGCACAGATGGGTTCTATTGTACACATTATGCAGGAAGCTAGGAGTTAATTACCGTTGTATTAATCCTTATTGAAACCATTGTTTAGAGTTTAGACGATACAGTTACCTACTCAAGCCCGCCATGATTTACATGGCTGACATACTGTTGTCCGAATTCTTGTGAAATGTAGACGCTACAAATACAAGATGATTTTATTAAAAAAATTGACATTGATTAATTATATAAACATAATTGTTACCTGGTAGAAGAGAAACGCGTCGATAACGCGTGAAGGTGACGGGTATTCAAGTAAACACGTGTTGTTTTGTGTGTATATTTCGTTGTGTTTGCCTGTGTGCGTCGGTTAGGGAAATCTATGAGAATCTCACAAAGGGACTCAACAACTCGGGATGCCATAAAAAGTAAAAGGGCACCTGTTACGCTCATGCGTCACTAAGGGGGAGATTCCAATGTAACTTTGAGAAATTATACTCTGTCGCAGCCAGTGCGTGTTTGATACCCCGCAACTCATTTTTATTATATAACATGATTTTTAAACATATTTTTTAAAAGCGGCCATAGCTGCAAGTGAAAATACTACATATTACTGCACAAAACTGAAAATTGAAGCCGTGAAACGAAAAAAAAAACACGTAACTCAACTAATTTTAAATTAATTTACTGTAGTCAAAACTTTTTAAAAATATCCAGTTAAAGTAACTTGAGCGTGTGTTATTTTGTATCTCTGAAACATTTGCCATTGTATCGAGAAAGGAACGGTCGGATTCGGTCAAAGAATAATAATCATATAATCTGTTGATGAACGCGAGGAGAGTAGGTACATGCAGAGACGCATGAACACAACATACATAGCAGACGGTATAACAATTACATAAATACTGATAGTACTGTCGTCATTAAAAAAGGCTTATATTTTTTAATACTGTTTTGACCAAAGTTTCAAATGTAAATTGTTGAAAATAACTCAGCCATTGTTAGCACAAAATTCTATAGTTTAATTTCGTAACAATCAACTTGGCGTATGTTCTTTTCAATTTTATAACTACAGATAATTGGTGATTAATTATAACTAGTGGTCCCGCAGAAGTCGAAATTCGACTTTAATCAATTGAAATTTCATGTTTAAGCATTATTATGGTTCTATTGTCAAATAGTATTGTACTTATATAATATAATCACAGATTTCGCCAAAACTACACTATACATAACTAATAATAAAGACAATATTCATTTATTCTCAATTTGACCACAGACAGCTTCGATCAATAATACTACAGACAGACCTTAAACACTAACAAAAGTTAAAGAGTATATTTATATACATATATGTGTTGTGTCAAATACATGGTAGTGTATGTAATGTTTTCTTTATTGATTTAACGTATCTTTTGTGGATTATTTAAAAAAAATATTAGCATTGTGTACTTCTTCTCTATACTCTCTATAAGTGTGGAAAATTTCATACTCCTCCGTCCGCGCAATTTTCGTACAAAGGGATACAAAGTTTTTGCTTCACGTATATTATTATATAGATAACGTCACTACGACTGTTCTACTGAATATGCTCTATTTAGTGCAGGAGAGAACGAGAGCAACGTACGAAATAGGAAAAAAAAACGTAATGAGAGATCGCTTCCTGTCTCGACCAAGGCCTGTACTCTGATGTTCCGAAACGTGACCGCCATCGAAGAATTAGAATTTGATTATTGTATCAGAAATAATCTACATAATTGATTTAACGAATGATTACGTTAGAAATGCAGGTGAGCTTAGGGGTCAATTTTTTATTTTTTATTGCTTAGATGAGTGGACGAGCTCACAGCCCA